TGAAGTGAAGAAAGGCTGTTTTATGACTGGTGCCTTCCTGGCCCCCATTTCCTTTTTCTCTACTGGCACCAGCTTTCTTAGGATTACTCTTTGTTGAATTAGGTTGTATCATGATTTGTACCATCAAAAATACTCCCTAAAAACTTTGAACGAACTTCTCTTATCTAAGATACTGTTCACCCAGGGTGAAATGAGAACTGTGTTTAAGTGCTGAGACCTTGTAATTGGGACCCCTAGACGTGGTACTGGTGTGCAGATTCAGGACTACAAAAAGCTTCATCAATGATGCATCAATAAAAACAATTGCATATATTTTATAGTAGTGCTGTGTGTCAGTCACTCCTCCAGCCTCTTTATAAAACTAATTTAATCCTTAATCAATTGAGTAGAGTTTATTTTTATTCCTCATTTTACATCACAGAAAGTAAATATCTTTTAAAAGGTCATACAACTAATAAGTTGCCAATTGGGCTTTCAACCCAAGTAATTTGGCTTCACAGTTCTTGTTCTTAATTTTTTTTGGCAATATTTAACATCCAGGAAGCCTTGGATTCTTTCCAATATAAGTTTTCAGTCTTCTGGGTTGCCATTGGTAGCAAAGGAAGATGCAGCACCACCTAGGTTAGTAATACACAACTTGAAGGTGCTCGGTACAGGTGAGGACCTATAGCCCATTGCCCTTCTGTCACTATTTGATCCCTGCCCTGTCATTTCTGTGCAGTCCTTGTTTGCAGCCTTCCCATTTTTTTTTTTTTTTCCTGCCTTTCTTTTAACATACACAGCTCAGTTAACTGCTGATCGGTCTCATGGATTATTTAAGTTGCAATAATTTTCCGGAAGAGGTGCTTCAGGTTTTTAAGTAGAATTATATATATTACTATGGATTGCTGACTGATTTAACCCTAATGATCATTTAATAACAATGTTTGGTTTGAAATTATTTTGTGTAGTGGAACTCACTCATTAGAACCTTGGAAGCTTGGGTAGACAAGTATATTAGAACCTAAATTTTATGTCAAAGTACATTATACTGTATTAGATCCTGAATTTCATTGTATTATGTTTGTATGACTTGTATTTCTTATTCTAATTGACATTTTTCACTATGAAATATGTTCTAATGACCTGCTCTGAAATGTTAGACTTTCCTAATAATCAGGAATTGTAGCCTGCAACAGTGATTTCCCAATCTCTGCCCCTCTCATTTAATTAATCCTAGTATCCACTGTCTTAATGCAAACATTGTCTTATATACATCTCTTTCAAATGTATGTAGACATTACATACATTTGCAGATATTGTAGTTGATAAAAATGGGAAGTTGGTCTGCTGACTGAAAGGTCCGAGGTTCAATTCCGGTCAAGGGCATGTACATTGGTTGTGGGCACATCCCCGCTAGGAGGAGGAGGGGGTATGCAGGAGGCAGCTGGTCAATGTTTCTCATCGGCGTTTCTAGCTCCCTGTCCCTCTCCCTTCCTCTCTGTGGAAAATCAATAAAATATATATATTTTTTAAATGTTGAATTTTGTGCCAAAGAACATTTGCAGGAAGTTATAATTCATTAGTTTATTTTGAAGAAAAGTAATGCTAAATACTTTGGGAAGCTTATGGTGAACATGCTCCATCTGAAGATACTTCTGAATGCTGGTTTAAACACTTTATAAGTGATGATTTCGATGTGAAAGACAAAGAACGTCCAGGTCAATCGAAAAATTTTGAAGAGGAACAATTATAAGCATTATTGGATGAAGATGCGTGTCAAACTCAAAAGCAACTTGAAGAAAGATTAAACGTTGCTCAACAAACAATTTTCTATTGTTTACAAGTAATGGGAAAGATTTTAAAGGAAGGAAAATGGTTGCCACATCAATTGAACAAAAGACAAATGGAAAAACCGAAAAGTCATCAGTAAAATGTTGCTTCAAAGGCATAAAAGAAAGTCATTTTTGCATCGAATTATGACTGGCGATGAAAAGTGGAATTATTTTGAGAATCCCAAACGCACAAAATCATGGATTAATCCAGGTCAATCATCAACATCGACTGCAAGACCAAATCGCTTTGGAAAGAAGACAATGCTCTGTGTTTGGTGTGGTATATTATGAGCTTCTAAAACCAGGTGAAACCATTAATACTTATTGCTACCAACAACAAATAATCAATTTGAACCACACTTTGATCATGAAATGACCAGAATTCTGTTCCAGAAGACAGCAGAGTAATTTTGCTTCATGATGACGCACCATCACACACTTCAAAACCAGTTAAAGACACGTTAAAAGGTCTTGCCTGGGAAGTTTTAACCCACCTGCTGTTTTCACCAAACCTTGCTCCTTCAGATTACCACTTGTTCTGATTGATGGCATATGCACTCTGTGAGCAGCACTTCAAAATGTACAAACAAGTGGAAAATTGGTGCTCTGAATGGTTTGCCTTAGAAAAGTTCTATTGGGCCAGTTTCCACAAACTGCCTGAAAGATGGGGGAAATGTGTAGCTAGCGATGGACATTACTTTAAATAAAGCACTTTTGATGTTTTTCTTGAAATTATTGTTTTCTTTGATTACAAAATCCGCATTATTAACCAATACATCTGATATGTTTGCTTATGGGGTGCTGCTCCATACTCATTGAGAGAGAGCCTTGTAATATATGATATGTGCACCACATTACTCTATAAAATCTGAAAATTCAAAATTCCAGAACATACCTAGTCCCAAGAGTTTTGAATAAGGTCTTGTAGGTAGGTATGTGCCAACTTAGTCCTCTGTAAGAAAGCTCATTTTCCACATTCTCATTAACACTAGCCTTTGCTGCATTAGTAATATGGGGAAATAGCCAGTGATTTTAGGTATTAATTAGCCTTAGAGGTTGTGTATAAAAGTAAGTAGTAGAACTTAGATTTATAGTGCAGCTCCCAGGTCTGGAATAGCAAAGTAATTAACTGACCGAAGTCACATTCTACCTTTGCATCTATTTCAGTTATTTCCATAGTTAACTTGGCTAGGAATTTGACAGTTGACACCAAGTTAATAGTTTCTGTAATAGTATAGTTGGACAGGAAGTACAGTGTGAGCTCTCTGATATAGGAATGGTATTTCATGATTGTTAGTGGGCCCAATCATGCTCATATTTTAGGTGTTGTGTCAGCCACTTGACTTTCTGATTATGGGAACTAAGAGTCATCTAATTAGTTTTAAATTAGCTATTACTAGCTTTCTGTATGAGTTTCCTCTCTTCCTTATTTGTAATTTTTTTGTAATACTGCAATAATCAGTGTTATTTCAAAATAGAGGCCTGGTGCACGGATTTGTACATGTTGAAAGGAAATTAATTAGAAGAAGTTTAGAAACCGGGGGAATGCAGGAGGTTGACTCCAGGGCATGTCCGCCCATCTAGCCCTGTCCCAATCAGCCAGACCCCAGCAGCAAGCTAACCTACTTGTCGGAGCATCTTCCCTCTGGTGGTCAGTGCGTGTTATAGGGATTGATCTAACGGTTGAACAAGCAGTCGGACACCTAGCATATTAGGCTTTTATTATATAGGATATACTGATTTACAAATAAAGTTAAACTTTAATTCAGTGGGAGTTTTCTTTTTATGAATGGTGTACAATGTGGTTAAAATTAGGTTTTTGTGCATAGCCATTGATTCCAACATTGTTGAAATAAGCCACTCTTCCTAATTTGAAATAAGTCGGGACAAAATTGCCCTCCTTTCTTGTGCATTGTTCTAGATGAATCCTCAAAAAATAGGATTTAGATAGGCTTTATATTAAATTTACACATAAGGAAGTCTCACATGTAAGAAAATATCTATTTTATCTTGCTTTGTGTTTTTGGTTTTCCCCCCAGTAAAATTGTATGCTCTTATAAAAAATTAAAGGAAGGAATAAAGTTAATTTTAAAAAATAGGATTGAAACACTATGAAGATTAATATTACATAAACTTCCCTTGTAGAATTGAACTCCAGGCCTAAAAAATATGTAGTTTATGTCTTGCAAATAAGTTGAGTCTATCATATAGTTTAATAATGTAAATTAAATACAAAGCTTTTATGAATGCATTTAAAATATATCCCCAAAATGAACCAAAACCGGTTTGGCTCAGTGGTAGAGCATCGGTCTGCGGACTGAAAGGTCCCGGGTTCAATTCCGGTCAAGGGCCCATTGGTTGTGGGCACAACCCCCCGGTAGGGGTTGTGCAGGAGGCAGCTGGTCGATGATTCTCTCATCAACGTTTCTAGCTCTCTCCCTCTCTGTAAAAAAAAATCAATAAAAAAAATATATATTTAATATATATATATATATATATATCCCCCCAAAATGAGAATCTCTTTAAGAAAAATGGTATTTTTTTCTCTCTTAAATTATGGTCATGTATTGCTACTAAACAAATAACTGGAAGATCTGGCTTTGTGATTCAAATTCTGTTTGTTTGTTTTTTCAAAATTCTTTTTAAAAAACTTTAAAAATGTATATTTATGTGCCTCTTGTTTTCTACAATGTTTTTATTTTGTATAGCAGGTAAAATTATAAATGTCAATTTTCTTTAGTCTATTAATTTTAAATGTAATAGACTTCTAAAAAACATTCCTCATCATTTTTATGGTAATATCTAGTGTACTGGCCTAGATACTCTAACTGAACTTTTTTTTCTTTTTAGTTACTCCAGAAGATCCGCAGACCATAGGATGTTTCCACGAAGCCTACCTCTGTCTTTCACACACAGCCTGTACAACCATTGCAAAGTTGAGCAAAATGTCTGCAGACTGTGTTGAAAAACTCTGAAGAACCAATTAACACAGGATGACCTAGGAGTGATTTTAAGTCTCTAACAAGAAACTATTCAATTAGTGAAAGTGTCAGTCTTGGTTCTGAATGCTGCAGATAACAGCAAGCGGAATTTCTCCTTTCATTATTTCTGAAACATTCACTTGACCTTCCATCAGTAAGACTGATTTTTTAAATTTGCTCCGGGAGATATTAATGGAATACAGTCATGTCCACTCAAGACGAGAGGCAGATCAATACTGAGTATGCAGTGTCCTTGTTGGAACAGTTAAAACTGTTTTATGAACAGCAGTTGTTTACTGACATAGTGTTAATTGTTGAGGGCACCGAGTTCCCTTGTCATAAGATGGTCCTTGCCACATGTAGCTCTTATTTTAGGTAAGTACTTTAATCTTGATGAGTTTGTCATTTCACATGCAGATGATAGCTTTTATTAATAGGAATTCTTTAAGCATTATTTAAATTCTAAAATAATAGATTCTTAATGTTTTGTTTACTAGTCTCCTTTTTGTCCCTGTACATATTTGGACATTTCATGTACATGGACTCATATACCATGTGGCCCTTTTTTTGACATCTGGCTCCTTTTGCTGAGTATAATGTTTTTGAGGTCCATCTGTGTTATGACATATATCGTTACTTAGTTCCTTTTTATTGCTCATTAGTGTCCCATGACAGACTTCAGAGATATTGTGACTTCAGGTCCAGACCACCACAACAAAGCAAATATCATAATAAAGCGAGTCACATGATTTTTTTTATTTCCTAGTGCGTATAAAAGTTTGTACTATAGTGTAGTAGTGTGCCAATAGCATTATGTCTAAAAAAAACACAAAACATTTTAATTAAAAAATAGTCTTTCTGAAAAATACTGTTAGGTGAGCCTTCAGTGAACTGTAATCTTTTTGCTGAGTCTTACCTTCAATTTGTAAACAAAAACAAACCCTCCACAATATCTACAAAGAGTGGTAGGGCAAAGTGAAAGTAAACCAAGTTTTGCCTGTAAAGGAATATTGGCGTTGTCACTCAGAATGCCGTGCTAGAATAGAAGTTTGGTATGACTTTGGCACTGGATTGTACTTTAGTGTTGTCTTACTCAAAAGTTTTCCCAAGAAGTTCATCAGCAAATGCCCTAAATAAACATCTGATGTTATCTAGCTTCTCTTTTTAGCTCTACATTTGTTTTACACTAAAAGCAAAAGTTTGTTTTTTCTCTCTGCTGAAGGGCCATGTTCATGAGTGGGCTAAGTGAAAGCAAACAGACACACGTACACCTGAGGAATGTGGATGCAGCCACCTTACAGATAATAATTACGTACGCGTACACGGGTAATTTGGCAATAAATGACAACACTGTAGAACAGCTGTATGAAACAGCTTGCTTCCTGCAGGTAAGCAGTTTCTTCTGTTTACATTAACTGGTTTCTTTTTACTTTTAAAAAAAATATTTTTATTTATTGTTTTGAGAAACATTGATTTTGTTGTTCCATTTATTTGTGCATTCATTGGTTGGTTCTTATATGTGCCCTAATATGAGATCGAACCCACAACCTTGGCATATCGGAATAATGCTCACCAATTGAACTGCCAAGCCAGGGCTTTGTGATTAATGTTTTTATGTGCCAGGTACTGTATTATATGCTCTATTTTAGGTTCTATCTAAATCTTAAAATAACCATTTTATACACTTGAGACTTAGAGAAGTAGCTACTTGTCTAATAGGGTAAAATGACTGATGGGCCAACCCAAGTTTTGAATCCAAGCAATCCAACTTCCCTCCATAAATTGCTTTTAGTTAACCACTGTGATTTTTTTTCTTTACTTTTTAACTTCTGTGATGTTGAAGAAGTGGGTTAACACTTCTGATTCATCTGAGATCTACTTTTTCTTCTTAAGAAAAAACAAACCTAGAAAATTTAGAGTGGCCAGGTTAAGTCATCTAAATGTAGATAATTTAGCCCTGAAGTTTGGTTTGGTGGTGAGAGTTTAGGCCCCTGCACTGAAGGGTCTCGGGATTTAATTCCCGGTCGAGAGCATGGACTTCAGTTGTCTGATTGGTCCTGAGGCAACAAATCGATGTGTCTCTGTCACATTAATGTTTCTCTCATCTTTTCCTCTCTTCCTCCCTTCTTCCACCCTCCCCTCCACCCTTCTCTTCCTCTCATGCTCTGTAAAAATAAGTAAATAAGTAAATAAAGATAATTTATAACTATACAGAACCTTTGGTTGTCTTAGCTCTCTAGATAAGAAAGGCATATATAACCATTTTTAATCATTATGTACGGTTTTCTGGTTTTATTTTGCTATCTTGTCCATATTAATAAAACCAGATTCCAGCTACTCAACAATGTTCATTTTCTGCACTATGATTTACATCGTTTTCATTTGGTTCTATCAATGACATATTTTTAACTTATACATGAACTTCTAACCTTTCCCTTTTGTTTAAGAGCCTGTTTAATATCATACTACTGGCTCCTAAATAGGGCAGTTAAGTAGGCCACTGGACAGGTGGAAAAAATGCAGAGCTATATGTATAGTCTTCTAATTTTATTATTACAGAAAACATCTCTTGGCCCCAAATAAGTATCTAAAAATAAAAACTACAGTACAGAGATCTGACTAATATACTGTTATCCGCACAAAATAAAATGTCTGTTCTGCCTTTATTAAACTTTTTTTTTTCTTTTAGGTAGAAGATGTGTTGCATCGTTGCCGGGAATATTTAATTAAAAAAATAAATGCAGAGAATTGTGTGCGGTTGTTGAGCTTTGCTGATCTGTTCAGTTGTGAGGAATTGAAACAAAGTGCTAAAAGAATGGTGGAGCACAAGTTCACTGCTGTGTGTCACCAGGAAGCGTTCATGCAGCTGTCCCATGACCTCCTGATAGACATTCTCAGTAGTGACAACTTAAATGTGGAAAAGGAGGAGACGGTTCGCGAAGCTGCTATGCTGTGGCTAGAGTACAACACAGAATCACGATCCCAGTATTTGTCTTCAGTTCTTAGCCAAATCAGAATCGATGCACTTTCAGAAGTAACACAGAGAGCTTGGTTTCAAGGTCTGCCACCCAATGATAAGTCTGTAGTGGTTCAAGGTCTGTATAAATCCATGCCCAAGTTTTTCAAACCAAGACTTGGGATGACTAAAGAGGAGATGATGATTTTCATAGAAGCCTCTTCAGAAAATTCTTGTGGTCTTTACTCTTCTGTCTGTTACAGCCCCCAAGCAGAAAAAGTTTACAAGCTCTGCAGCCCACCAGCTGATTTGCATAAAGTTGGGACCGTTGTAACTCCTGATAATGACATCTACATAGCAGGTGGTCAAATTCCTTTGAAAAACACAAAAACAAATCACAGTAAGACAAGCAAACTTCAGACTGCCTTCAGAACTGTGAATTGCTTTTATTGGTTTGATGCACAGCAAAACACCTGGTTTCCAAAGACACCGATGCTTTTTGTCCGAGTGAAGCCATCCTTGGTTTGCTGTGAAGGGTACATCTATGCGATCGGAGGAGATAGTGTAGGCGGAGAGCTTAACCGGAGGACCGTAGAGAGATACGACACCGAGAAGGATGAGTGGACAATGGTGAGCCCTTTGCCTTGTGCTTGGCAGTGGAGCGCAGCAGTTGTGGTTCATGACTGCATCTACGTGATGACGCTGAACCTCATGTATTGTTATTTTCCAAGGTCTGACTCATGGGTAGAAATGGCCATGAGACAGACTAGCAGGTCTTTTGCTTCAGCTGCAGCTTTTGGTGATAAAATTTTCTATATTGGAGGGTTACACATTGCCACCAATTCTGGTTTAAGATTCCCTTCAGGCACTGTAGATGGGTCTTCAGTAACTGTGGAAATTTATGATGTGAATAAAAATGAGTGGAAAATGGCAGCTAACATTCCTGCTAAGAGGTACTCAGACCCCTGTGTTCGAGCTGTTGTGATCTCAAATTCTCTGTGTGTGTTTATGCGAGAAACTCACTTAAATGAAAGAGCTAAATATGTCATTTACCAGTATGATCTGGAACTCGACCGGTGGTCTCTGCGGCAGCATATATCTGAACGTGTGCTGTGGGACCTAGGGAGAGACTTTCGATGCACTGTGGGGAAACTTTATCCATCCTGCCTTGAAGAATCTCCATGGAAACCACCAACCTATCTTTTTTCACCAGATGGGATGGAGGAGTTTGAACTGGACTGAGAAATGGCTGCACTACCACCTGTACAGTTGGGGAGTTCAGGAGGTGAACACCTGATTTATGTGCTTTGTCATTTTCTTTGCTAAATAAGAGAGGCTATGAAAGGACTAATATGAGTACATAAAAATCTATCTTTGATAAATTTTATTTTTATGCCCTACTTAATATTTGCATCAGTATAATATATATCAGTGAGTCTTGCAGAAAGACATGCTTCCATAATATGAAATAGATTATCCAATAATTGTAAAATTTTATGTGTATCATGAGAGCATAGAATCTAGATTATCTAACATTGTTAGCCCTGTGTATGTACAGTTCAAAAAGTTCACTTATTAAACTAGTTTCCTGTTCCTAGTGTGGTATATCACAAATTGTGCTGAGGTTATTTTAGCATATGTATTTCGTTCCTGTGCTTCTGTTCTGAAGTCCTGGAATACAGTTTTTTGGTGTAATTAGTTCAGCTGCACTTAACACTAACATCCATGTTGGAATCGCAATGTCTCAATCCTGTACCATAGTTGAGGAAGATCTTCCATTTTATGGTATTACACAGGGAGAGCTATGACTGCAGGACCAGTCTAACTATACTATTAGGTGCATGTACTCTCTTTTCACTAACTTATACTTGTCTCTAGAATACAGGTCTTCCAATCAGCTGGTCATTTACCAGGTATAGACTTAAGTTGCTGGGCTTGCAATAAAATTTGCTAGTCCCTCATTGTGCGGGTCCGGGTGGAGCATTCATCAGTAAATGCCTCCACTTTCTTTATTACGTTAACATTGGCTCATGCGTATAACTACCTGCTGCTGTTGTATTTCTCCATCTTAAAAGATTTAGAGTGGGTCAACCAGGTCATTACATCTTAATTTAATAACAAGCATTACCTTAGAGTGATTGTGTATAGATACCCGTTAGCCGTCAGGGTGTGTTTTTAACCTGTTGTGTGTGTGGGTAGGATTAGAAGGGTGAACCGGTCAGGAATCCTCTGCGCTGCCGGTGCGGACGAGCAGTAACGAGCGCTGCTCTGGCATTCATCCCGGAACCACTAGCAGTAGCGGCGCCGCCCATCAACATGAGCACAGGTGCTTCATGACAGACATTACTAGCATGTTCAGCTGCACAATGTTCTGGCACTGTATTTTGAATGACATTAATTTATTAAATAAGTTGTATATATTCAATATTTGTTTTTCTTTTGTGGTGGGAATGGTTTAATGGTGTGCTCTTAGTTTTAATTTTACTGGGTCGTTTTACCTTGATGTGTTCTCTTCAGAATTTTGAGTATATACAAGAAATTGTGATATGAGCCTTACTGTATCAACATAAACTACAGATAAAAGCAGTGCCTTTCAACCCTCGTTGCATATTAGAGTCATCTGAGGTGGTGGTGGTGCCTGAGTCTCATCCCAAACAAAATGAACTCTAGTCTGGGGGTGGACCTAGCACAGTATCTAAGAGCACTGTCACACGATGTTTCTTTTGTGCCGTCCTTGAGAGGCATTGGTTTAGGCTTTAAATGCAGGCATGCCTTGGAGGTGCCGCAATAAAGCCTTTTGCTGGTGGAGGGCTTACCTTCAATTTGTAAGATTGCAACCCGTGAAAGGCAATACAACAAGGTGTGCCTGTATAAGGATTTGATTATAAATTATCGGTCTTCCTAGAACACGTTCTTGTTCATGTTTCTAGACCTGAACTGTCTCCCTCTGCTGAATGAAGTCCAATTTCTTTTGCTTTTTTCATTTTCCAAGACATTGTATTTAAGAAATTTCAACCTGTGATAACACAAAGCAACAATTCTTTATTTTTTTAGATATCGATGTGTAAAAGTGATTTTGATGTTGGAAGTTCCATTTAATAAGTAAACACATTATTTGAGGCAAATTATTTAGCAGAATTTCATCATAGATTATCAGAAATTGAGGTAGCTTCAGTCTAGCCTAGCACCATAACCCACTGATTTATTAAAGAACTAGAGGCCCAGTGCATGGAAATCGTGCACTGGTAGGGTCCCTAGTGGCTGCCAGCCGGGGCACCTCCCTTCTAGCCACCTGCTGCTGCTGCCATAGCCGCCACCTACCCCACTCCCTGGTTGAACTCCAGGTCGAGGGAACAATTTGCATATTAGGCTTATATAGGATGATCAAAGAAGTAAGAGATGTATCTCTTTGATCCTAATGACTTCACATATCCTTTTATAGTAAACACCATGAAAGGAAGCAGGGAAATTGGTAGAAAAATGGGATCTTTACCCTAAAATATTATAAAGGGAAAAGGAAACTGGAAAGAAATATTGGGAATAAGTTTCCAGCAAACTCATTTGACAGAAGAATCCTTGGATCATAACAGCATCCTCCCATGGACAGATGCCATTTGTGTTCTTACATGTGAAAAAGTATTACAAGCAGCTCTGGAGGCTAGAAGTTGGAAAGCGAGGTGCTGGCAGGATTGGTGTTCTCTGAGAGCTGTGAGAGGAGCTGTTCCAGGCCGCTTTCTGGGCTTGTAGAAGGCCATCTGCAAGTTCACATGGTGTTCTTTGGATGCTTCATCTGGCCACGAAGCAGAGCTGCCAGCATCTTGATCTCGGACTTCCCAGTCTCTAGAAACTTCTTGAAGCTACAAGTTCCAAACCAAAGTCCAAAAGGATTGGTTTCTGGCGAACACCTGCCAGCTTGCAGATGGCCACCACCTCCTCGTGTCAAGTTCAAATTCTTTCACACATTTAAAGCTCAAGATTTGGCTTTCAGTTACCTTTACAGCAAAGTCTTACATTGTTTATCCATAAACCTTAGCTTGAATTAGGTTTTTGCTATAGTTTCTTGCCTTTGCTGCTTGCTCTGCTCAGAGTGGTCTTTCCACATTCTAAACATGCCTGTGACTTACCTGTACTACCCAAGATCTGTTTAACATAGTTTTAATTTTCCCCATTAAGTAGTTTTTAAATGAATGCTTCCCTGTGTTGAAGAGCCCCTAGTACCTTGTGCCTTGGTTGATTAATTTACCAATCATTTATTGAGTATTCTGATTGGTCTGAATGCTTTTTCTACAAAGTGATCGTTGTGTTTGAGAGTAAGGACTTATATAGGGCTGCTTCCCCCTATAGCAATGGTTGGCAAACTGCGGGCTCTCCAGCCAAGGTTTGCGGCTCTGTTGACTAATGAGTTTGCCAACCACTGGGATAGGGGCTTAATCACAAGGAACAACAACAGCCTGTAATTATTGGACTCGAGAGTCTAGGTCAGTGGTCGGCAAACTGCGGCTCATGAGCCTCAGTGTGGCTTGCAAGCCTCAGTTTGCTGCGGACCACTACCCTATACTGTAGCGTACTTGGTGGTAAAAAGTCAAATCCAATCTAACAAATTCTTTAGTCTCATTAGAAGTTTCATTAGTCACCTCCCACCACCATTTAACCCTCCATCTTAGATCTGTTATCTTAATACTTGGGCCACTCTTGGCAATATTCTAACTTCCTTTGCCTTATTTTATATTCAGTCAGAACCTGAGTCTTAGATGAGTATGGATGGTCTTGACCTGTTCGTAACAGCTAACTAAGCTATTTTCCGGCATATAAGATGACTTTTGAAACGAAAAATCGGGGGTCGTCTTATACGCAGAGTATATCCCGAAAAAAATGTCTCGATAGGCTGCTAAACGAATTTTCCAATTCGATCCTGCACCAATCATTGCAAGACTGCTCAGACCGCTGCTCTGACTCAGCCAATCCAAGCAGGCTTTTTTTGCATGCAAATTATACATGTTCTGTACCCGAAGCTACACTGTGTTCTAGTAAAAAGCCTGCTCAGATTGGCCAGAGTCAGAGAGGCGGTCTATTAAAAAAAGAACTGGTGTTGCCTCGGAAGTGGGGGGTAGTCTTATACAGCGAATAGAGGCCTACACCTATGTTTTAACTGTAAAATTAGGGGGTCGTCTTACACGCCCGGTCGTCCTATACGCTGGAAAATACGGTAGTTTCATTTCAAACGAATTCCTTCAAGTGCAATGCTCCTCACACAATTATTTGAAAGTTATTTCTCTTGGAGGGATTTGATAATAGAAACCCTGTTGCAGGCCTTGGATGCTGGGGGTGCAGGGAGAACTGATTGAGGCTGGCCAAGTTCATGGGAAAGGGCAAATGAGCCTGGTTTCTCCCTCAGGATCAACGTCCTCTTGGAGGCCTGAGAACTGCTGTTTTCTCACATTTGCTTTCCCCTCGCCCCGGTGCGATGGCGCTCCCCTCTCCTAGCGGTTACATAATGATGTGGGTCAGCCTCACGGGCCATTCTGCCCTTGGACAGCGCTTTCTGAAACTGCCCGATTTCCACATGAGAACTGTTTATTCTGGATCGGACTTAATTTGGTCAGCTGAACTCTCCTGGGTATGGAGAGTTGTTCTTACCCTTGGCCTACTTTTTCTGGTACCAAATATCCCTTTACAGCGTCACCTCGCACTTTGTAAAACAAATCGCTGAAAGCACTGCTTTCTTTCGCTGTTGGACTACGTCATTCCCGCCGTGCTCCTTGGAAAGCCACAGGCACGGAGCCTTGCGTTGGAAAGGAAGGTTTTGTTCATGTCACAGGGTTAGTCAGTTACCTGCCAGGTGCCAGCCTCCCTGACCTCAACAGCTCAAAGCCAGACTGTTACCCCAGAACACAGGGTGGTGATGGAAATACATTCCAGGCCCACAGGGAGAAAAAAAGCACTGGCCCAGCTCCGGGCCCAAGAGGCTCTTCCTCACATCAATGCCTGCTCTGCCTCTCTTTGGCTTTGATTTTGTCCCTTCCCCATCACAGCAATAGAAGCAGAAGGAAATCACCATAGTGTCCTTGGCCTCATAAACCAATTCCTTTTTCCATGTCCTCAACGGAGAAACTAAAAGAGGAAAAAGGAAGAAGAAATGCAGCGGAAGCAAGCTGGACTCCTACCCTCCCTTTGTAGATGTTCTTCACTTCCCTCTTCCAACATGGGCCCCGTTCTCACAATGGTTGTTACAGTATCTGCCTAACATTGCAGTGAGCATCATAATTACTAGGATTGTGCCTGAGTCTCCACACTAGCCCTTGTCTGTTGGTTGGCCCCACTTTCTCAGTATTTAGTATCATAAAAAATGCCTTGACAGAGAACTCCATGCACAGAGTTTTCTCCTCCTTTTGGATGGAATCAGGATGCTCTCCTGGTTAAGGGCCATAAGAATGTCCACTCCTGCTTTATTGACCATGCTTCTTAGAGATGCATCTCTCTCTTGAAGCAGTGAAACAGGTCTTAGCTCAACATTCAAACATTCAAAAAAGAACTCCCATCAGAGTGTGGGAGCTGATACAGAACAGGTGAGCCCGTCCCAGAGGGTTAAACAAGGAAGTAGCCAACCAGTGGTCAGGTGTAGGGGCGGTTCCTCTCCCATGAGAGAAGACTTACTCATCAGGGACAGGATATGATTTGAGCTGTTTGCCATCAAAGAGGGCCTTTGGAAACCTCTGATCTGCCTTATTTAATTCAGAACACGGGCTCAGAGTTTTTATTTGACCTGCCTAGGGTCACACGGCAATCTAGGACTATATTCTGCCCTCGCCTTTTGGGTTCTCCGTACTGTAGAAATGTCCTAGTGAGCGAGGGGAACTGAGGTAGTGAGTGGACTAAGAGCCTGAGGAGGTGTCTGAGGTGTGCTCTCTGCGTGTCTTGTCTCCTCTTCCTGTCCCTTGCATAACTCAGGGGATGAGAGGCACCATCCTGAGTGGGTGGAAAGTGTTCATTAGCTTGTATATCTGCTAGAAATTCATTTGATTTCGTGGTTAATATAAAGAATGAAAAATAGCCCTAGCTGGTTTTGCTCAGTGGATAGAATGTCGGCCTGCGGACTCAATGGTTCCAGGTTTGATTCTGGTCAAGGACATGTACCTTGGTTGCAGGCACATCCCCAGTAGCGGGTGTGCAAGAGGCAGCTGATTGATGTCTCTCTCTCATTGATATTTCTAACTTCCTATCCTTCTTTTCCTCTCTGTAAAAATCAACTGAAAAAAAATAAAAATTCCTGGTGATACCAAAGCTTTGGAGACCACGTGGAGCAATGGCTTTCTGAGGCCATGCTGGTGGGAGGGTGTTCATAGTCCCATGTGTATACCTGAGAAATGTGCACAGGCACTGGGATCAGCCTCGGGTCCTCTGGGCCATTCCGTATGCTGCCTCCTCCAGAAGCTGGCGCTGCTATCCAATGGGGAAGCAGGCCAGAGCCCCCCTCACCCACCACGGGAAGGGGACTTCTCGAAAGACAGGTCAGTATGACTATATGCAAGACAAATTGGATCATTTTATTCTCATTTTTCTTTAAAAGATACAGTAGGGAGTTTACAATTCAGTATGATTAGATGCGATTTATAATTTTTAACATTTATTTTTAAATAAATGACAATAGAAACAAAGAATTGCTACATATGATAAATCTTACTGGAGTGAAGAGAAAAAGCTACCTTTTGGATCAAACACGTGCCACAGCTAAACCTCCTTGGAAAACTTTCTAAGATTTCTAAGCTAAACTTCCCTAAAAAAGGTTTGGGGAAGCCTGGACTCTCAAATCTTGAAACTATTTTTGTGAGCATCTGACTCTTTACCAACTTGTTCATCAAAAGCTTCCTACATGTAGGAGCCCATGACTGAGTGCCCTGAAACAGGTAAGTCTTAATCCTATTTTTCCAGCTACAAGTCATTCATGTTTCAAGCAAACAAAGTATGTTCTAAGCACAGAAGCTTTCTAAAAACTTCAATTACCTTCTCTGGCTCAGTACCTGACTGAAATGTTCAAATGTTCCTGTTACAAACACACACACACACACACACACACACACACACACACACACAAAATTTGAGCAGCATACTGTGTGTGTGAGAAGCGGATGAAAAATAAGATTGGAAAACCCCATACATTGTGTCCCATTTATGTGATTTAAATATATAGTCTCTATATCTTTAATTAATAGAAGTAAAAAGGTAAACTGTAGAACAGCACAGAAATACAAATGTATTAGTTTTACAAAATATATTCAACCCCTTATACGTGCACAACCTTTTAAGTTTGGAGTTACAATACAAGGGACCTCGTTTCGTCTCCGTATGAAAGCGGGAAGTCACCTACCTGTACAGAGCAATTTACATGGAAAGAACAAAAATCTACATCCCTTTCCCTTGTCCTTGACAGCTATGCATGGAATGCTGGAAATGATGAAAAGACAGTTGCAATGTTCGGGAAGTTCAGAGACTTGCGGTGAGAAACCTGCCAGCGGCACCTTGCTCTCCAGGGCATGGCCACCGCCTTCCAGAAACCAGGCTGTGGTCTCTGTCACACGGAAAGGGAAAGGCGGCCACAGAACTGGGGGAAAGGCCACGCACACAGAGCCGCCTCCGGCCAAAGCAGCGGGGTATGGAAACATTCACATGTGGATGCCATTCCAAGTCCTGACCACGCCCCCGATAAAATAGCAGGCACCATGTAGCAGGTACCATCTGCACAGGCCACTTTCCCACATTGCTGAAGCGATGCATGAGGTTGGGGGATCATCCGCTGGCCTCGTACAGAGCTGAGGTCCCCCCCCCCAATACATCACCCCGCCAGGACGGAGCAGGACCACTGGCTGTATGTTTCCACAAAACACAAAACCAACACACAACCTGCCAGCCAGGAAGATAACCTTACAGCTTCCTTTTAAACTCGTCACCAGCAGATTAAGGTGTTAACTTCTCTATAAAAGAATTCTTATAACCTTTAAGGTAGGAAACACTGCTCTCAAAATACTTCCATTCAGATGTTTTGGTACCTTGCTCCTCAGTCTTGCAAAGACTTCTCACTTCTCCTCTCTCTTCCTAATTTGCTTTCCTCCTAGCCTTTCCACAAACTCAATTATTCTCAAAAAAAAAAAAGTTCAATGCTTAATAGAGAACTCGGAAAGCAAGGTAAGGTGGTGGAAATCACGCCATATAGTCTGGTTGCTGCCATGTTTCTTTTTTAAAATATATTTTAATTGATTTCAGAGAGGGAGAGAAACATCAATGATGAGAGATTCACTGATTGGCTGCCTCCCGCATGCTCCCTACTGGGGATCTAGCTGGCAACCTGGGCATGTGCCCTGACTGGAATGCAACCGTGACCTCCTGGTTTACAGGTCTCCGCTCAACCACTGAGCCACACCAGCTTGACAGCTGCCATGCTTCTTAAAGCAAAAAGGAGATGGGGATTGGTTTAAGGCGTGTGGGCTGACAGATCACTAATGGATTTGGAAACAGACTATTCATACTCTGTTATTAAGAACCAAATGCAAATGCCAAGTAATTCTAAGCCTTCCATGCAACATTCCCTGTTCACCTAGTCCGAGACACAGTTGCTTTAACTCTTATTTTCCCTGCCTATGTCACTGCCATCACAGTGCCTCGCAGGAATCAAAGCATGCCAGGGACTTGCCCTGAACACCACTACGCAGTCACCTAGACAGACAGTGAGGCCATCACCAAGCTACAGATGTGGCCTGTGTGCTGGCACAGCTGGCAGAGGCCTGGCTGGCCGAGTTCCCTTGGGCCTCCTTACACATCCTCAGTTCTTAAGACACAAAAGGACCAGAGCAAGCACGGCCAACCCGAACACACACCCTTCCTGGCGACAGGTCCGGAAGACGGCCTGGGGTCGGCCCCTATGGCTCACAGAGCCGGTGGCAGAAGGGAGGTCACTGCTTCTGGCCGGAGCCTGCAGCCCGAGCCCTAAGCATGGACGAGTGGCCAGGCTCCCTGCCGTCAGCCGTGCTGCCTGCCCCAGGCCCTGCCCACAGCGTACAGCCTCCCTGAAAACCCCCGGGCCCCGAGAACCCGAAAGAAAGAGGACCGTCTTTTGACCGTTTCTACGACAACAGTTCTATCCTCTGCAAAACTCATTTTATGTTGGAAGCTCATGAAATGGCCACTCTGAACTCTTAACTGGAAACATTAACAGAAAGTTCATGAAGGTAGATATTAAATGGGGAGCACGTGCTACTGGAGCAAAGTTAGACTCCATGTGGCTATCTTTATTCCAGTGGGATCCCAAAGGTGGCTGGCTGCTTTTGAAGAGCGAGAGGTGGGAATTGAGCCCAGTCACACAAACCATACAGAGTGAGGATGAGTCTGCAGCTACGAGGCTCCTCCCTATGAGATTCTGGCCGTTGGGAGGGAAAAAGCCTCACTAATACCCTGTCTCTCCAACCAATGGTGCAGCCTCGTGAAACAAGATGTGATGTGAGGAGGGATTCTTCATAGCTGATTAAAGTACCTGTTAAGGGTTTGTCGATTTTACTTCTCTTCAAGTGCTATTTCCTGAGAAGGTAAACTTTCCTGGCAGAAGTGGAATTAATGGAGTTTTCACAATAAGCCCTTTAAATTATCATCATTGATTTTTTTTTTTTAATGAAACACTTTATTTTTAAAATTTGTATTGCATCTACTGGGGTGACACTGGTTAATAAAATCCTATGGGTTTCAAGTGTACAACTCTACAACACATCACCTGTATATTGCATTGTGTGTTCATCACCCCACGTCAAATGGAAAAATGCTTTTATGCTTTTAGACTTGCTGAACTTGGGTTGAAACACAAACTGGAAAATTTAGGGACATTCGGATTATGTCCTTTGACCATTTCACATGCCCTAGTAGGACTTTCACGGCATAAACCTTTCCTAAGGGGTAAGTGCCATCCTTCATTAGGTCCCCTCCTTTTCCCCAATACTCTTTATATTTGTATCATATGTAGGTTATGCTCACTACTTATTTTCCAAGTATCCTTTGTTATTGAAAAAGCAGTCTGTCCCCTGTACGTACTCCCTGAGAACACCCATCCCATGTCCCCACAGAAAGCAAACGAGAGCTGAGCATGGCAGATATGAAGTCCAGGTGTGTAAAACTCTGCAGCACGCGGCACACACGTGCACATATCTGAAATGAAACCAGGTGTCCTTGTATGAAGCAGGACTGATGTCACGGCCATGGTTTTCTTGTCCTGCTTCTTGCTTTCCTCAATGTGAGCTAAGTTGAGATTTCTATTTACTATTTACTGTTCATCTTGCTTTTCATTAAAAAATCTCTTTAGATGGGCTCGATTCCAGGCTTTTTCCACCAGGGAAGTAGGAAAGCCAAGTAGGAAAGCTTCGAAAAGCTTACGAAGAATAAGACTAAGGAAAAAGCGTCAGGTCTGTAAACACCCAATGGAGAACTGTTTGAAAGACGGAATAGAAGGCACACACCTCGGGGTAAAAAATGCTGGAAAGAGGTTACAACATGACTAGAGTTGGCAGAACGAACACCTAGGTTTCCCAAAGTTTTGCCCTAAATACGGATTCGTGTTCAGCTGCTCCAACCCTGCGGGGCCTGTCCTGCATCTGCTCCTCCGCACAGCTGCCTCGGCGCCAGGGTTCGGGCTGGGCAAGAACACAGCACACAGGGAGCCAACAAGCATCCTCAGGACCCACGGCCGTGCTTTTACCTTTCCGGGGGGAAGCGGGTTGATAGTTTGTCGGTAGAAAACTATCATCATAGAACTCAGCAAAAATAATAAGAACCAAGGACTGGGCGGTACAGGCCCTTAACTTTATAAGCATGTTTTAGGGCCAACGTTAAGAGAAATTAAAATACTATTACAACAATTTTAACACTAATAAATTACAATGATCATCCAACTATTCAAATAGCGAAACAGAACAAAATGTACATACGTAAAACCTTTCCTAAAGTAAACAAGTATACACAGTCAGAACGGGAGATACCGTTAGCAGGGGCCCGGCGTGTGTGCATCAGGCTCAGACTGAAATGGAAGCAGTCGATTCAAACCCCAGCCTGGAGAGCCATCCCTGCTGTGGTTGTGGTTGCATCTTTCCGGCATCCTGTGACATTCACTCAGACAGAGGGCGACCGCGACCATCCATGTAAACAGTGCGACGTGTGGTCCCCGCCGTGGGCCTGTGGCTGATGGAGAACAGCCTGGGAGCAGCTCACAGACAGGGGGCCCTTCCAACTGGGGGAGCGCCAGCTGCTGCTGGGCCTGCTCAGGGCTTCCCGGGCGGCTCCGGGAGGCTCTGGGGGGTGGAGCCAGTGAAGGTGGAAAGCCAGGAGGACATGGCTGTCTTTGCGCTGGAAAGAGCTCCTCCCACCGACTGGCCTGGATGGGAAGGAGGGAGGAACAAAAGGAAAAGCGTCTTCACTTCTGTTAAGAGGCCCTGAAAGAAGGACCGATGCTGATGAATAAATGTCAATTCACAGTAACGCATCAGTATGCTAACGATGACTAGCACGCCATTTAAATTTCTAGTTTCAAAATTATCCCTTGCTGCCCTAGCTGGTTTTGCTCAGTGGATAGTCTGTTGGCCTGTGGACCAAAGGGTATTGCCTCATCCACCACTTTTTGAAAGAGTTTGTAGAAAGTCAATATAATTCCTCAAATGTTTGAGGAGACTTGCAGGTAAAGCCATGTGGGCCTGAATTAAATTAAAAACCTTGCAGCAAGTTTTTAAATATTAATTCCATTTATTTAAAAGGCAATAGGACTAGTCAGATTTTCTTTTTAAAATATATTTTTATTAATTTCAGAGAAGAAAGGAGAAGAAGAGATGGAAATATCAATGATGAGAGAGAATCATGGATGGAGCCCACCACCAGGACATGTGACCTTGATTGGAATCGAACCTGGGACCGTTCAGTCCCCAGGCCGATGCTCTATCCACTGAGCCAAACTGGTTAGGGCCAGATTTTCTATTTCTTATTTCACTGATCGATAAGACTATTTCAATTGAGTCTTTCAAAAGATTTTGTATATTTCATCTAAGTTGTCAAAAAATTGGCATAAAGTTATTCACAAAAGTCCTTTAATTTTTGTAAGGTCTGTAGTGATGTCCCTCTCTACTCTTTATAAAGGACTATGGGCTGAGCTGGGGGAAACTCCACTGACGCTTGCATCCTGGTAGCAGAAGAGTGAACTCATCAGAAAACCTGTCACTCCCCATCAGATGTGGCAAAATTTGCTTAACTCTGATATTATCTGGTGCCATGACATTTTTTTTAAACAAATAAGACCAAAATTAAAAAACAAAAACCCAACAACAAACAATTTGAGTAAATATTCAATATTTACTCAAATAAATACAGTAAATGAATATTTACTGTATTTGACTATGGGAATTATTTGCATTATTATGTGATACTCAGACCTCTACAACTTTATATTTTTATCAACAACATACTGAGAGCACAGAGGTGAGTTATCATCGCAGCCTGTTCCTGGCCAAAGGGTGCCTTACCAACAGCTTTTCCTGTCTGGACCACATTCCGGCTGGTGGAGACCATGACGTTTCCAATTTTCTTGCCACGTTCACTGTTTTGAACAGAACTGAGAGAAGAAAAGACGTGCTACATACAACTTAAATCAACCTCCTCTCTCACACACACATCACTCTATCACCATCCCCCAAAGGAGTATTATTGAGAAAAGAAACTAAGTCGTTGTTATCCATCAATTAATTTAATGAAGCATGTGCGTTTTCAGTAAGATACTAAAAAGAAACAGCATGCAGATGAATGACTAACTCTCCCGAAAGGACTTGCCAAAGTTACTTCCGGATAAAAATGGCAAACCCGGCGCTTTGCTCACACCAGTCTCCGGGAGACAGCAGTGTTTTCGCTCTGAGACGCACCCGCTGCTGAGCTGCGGGCTGCCAGGCGTGTGTTTGGTTACTATTTGGAGCCCAAGTCTACCGAGTGCAGAAAACAACTCCCAATTAGCCACGGCACACATGGCACAGGCTCAGACGGCAGAGCCGTCCTGGTGTTCTGCTCGAAATACTCACTGTGAGAACCGTAGCCTCATGTCGGATACCGAGTACTGGCCCTGGAAAGGGTGGCTGTAAAACAAAGTTCCGGTTTGAACCTGAGGGTCCCGGCGGGAAAGCCACAGAGCAGTCACCCCAGGGAGCATCAGGGAGCCTCACAGGGGAGACGCTGTGAGTGTAACACCCGGAGGGCTTGGACCCCAGCTCCCTGCCTGCAGTGAGGGGAGCCTCTGAGCCTATTCCCTCCACAGGAAATAGGTGTTTTTTCTAGGCTGGGATTGGGAGGGTTGTGTTAGTGATGTTGATTTATTTGGTTGGTGTGGGGCCCAAGCATTAACATTTTTTAAAAAAGCTCCCCGAACCCTAGCCGGTTTGGCTCAGTGGATAGAGGATTGGCCTGAGGATTGAAGGGTCTTGTTTGATTCTGGTCAAGGGCACATGCCCGGGTTACGGGCTCAATCCCCAATAGGGGATGTGTAGGAGGCAGCCTTTCAATGGTTCTCATCACTGATGTTTCTATCTCTTTCCCCCCTCCCTTCCTCTCTGAAGTCAATAAATATATATACACTAGAGGCCTGGTGCATGGATTTGTGCACCGGTGGAGTCCCTCGGCCTGCCCTGCACCCTCTTGCAATTCAAGACCCTTCGGGGGGTGTCGGATAGTTGGTTTTGGACCAATCCCTGCAGGCCTGATCCAGACAGGAGAGAACCCGATCCCCCATGGTCAGTGAGCTCATGGTGACTGACTGACTGACTGACTGTGAGAGAGAGACACATTGGTTGGTTGCCTCCTGCATGTGCACAGACTGGGGCCAGGGATGGAGCCTGCAAACAAGATACATACTTTGACCAAAACTGAACCCTTCAGAGCTTGGGCCAATGCTGTAGCCAATGAGCAAACTGGCCAGGTGGGATAGGGTTTCCTTTGTACTGGGCAATGAAGGAACCGCTCTGTGCTCTACCTCTGAGTCTCGGAGGAGGTGCTTACTTCGGATTGATTTCCGCGAGTGCCGGGTGCCGGTTGCTGTTCCAGACCCTGTAGTTGTGAGTGTTCTTCCACGCCATCACGAAGGCTGTCCCGTAGTCCGCGAGCACCTTTTCATTATCTGTCAAGTAAACGTGCGAAAGCTGAGCTGCCTGTAGCCGGTCAGGGGTGAGAAGATGAACCACCAAAAAGGGTAAAGGAATAGTTCCACCCCCTAAACCCCCCTTCCTCCCCCCCGGCTCCCTGGGGGTCTACCAGATGTCAGGTCTAGCTCCAAACGTCCTGTGAAGGGGCTATGTGGTCTTTGGCAAGTCACTTAGTCCTGGATGGAGGATGTCATTTCCCTAACTGGAAAAGCGGGTGGGCCCAGAGATTGTCTGAGGCTCCTTACAATGCCAAGATGGTCCTGTTCTCCTACCCAAGGTCAGGAGGCACAGTGTTTATTAAACAAACGGCAGGCCGGCCGGTGAGCCAATGTTCCGATACTTACATAGGGAGGAGGCAAGCAGGGCATCTTTTATCTGGGCACAATGTCATGTCACTGTTCCTAAGAACACGAATTGGTTCTTTTAGGCACGATTTTCTCTTCTTTGAGTTCTGTCTTGCTATCTGGTGAAACTCACTGCAGAGTTTCTATGCATTTTGCTGTCAGGATACTTAACACAACAAGGGCATTTGCGTATGTAATGTTTAAAACGTTTAGGCTTTATCAGGATCGTGGGGGAGTTTCAGTGCAGGCGTTTCTGCTGCTTGGAGGAATGGAAAAGGGCTGGAGAATGGACTCCAGTGGCCATTGCTTCATATTTAATTGCAAGTTGCCTGCTCTGAGGGTGAAAGGTGATGTTTGCTGCTGGGGAAGGAAGGGAAAGGTGCACACAGTTCCATGTGCGGCATGGGGAGTTCTTTTCAGAACACAGTCCCCAAACGGCACAGGGCTGCAGGCCCCTTACAGCTGGAGCTGAGCCAGGCGATGGGGCTATAATACCAGCTCAGCCTCTTGCCAGGGGTGAGCGAGCTGCTGAAATCATCTTCCTGTGCCTCGCTTGCTCCTCTGTAGAGTTGAGGATGACAAAGTATGTGCCCAGGACTGCTGTGAGGGTGATGTGGGAGTAGGTAGGTGTAAAGAGCTCAACACAGTTCCCTGCACATTATAATGTGCCTCCCCCCACCCCTAAAAAAAGGAAGTTCACTCCTACCAGTCCCTTCTCGCAGCTCCCTGGGCGAATGTTTTTTAAAGGTGAATGAATCACTCACGAAGCTACATGATTGGTGGGGACTGGGGTTTTCTTACTAGATTCCTGCATGATCCTGGGTTACAGCCTGGATTTGGGAGTCTCAGGTGCTGAGTACTTGGGAATTTAATTAAGAAGAGGCAGACGTTTAAAAACATCCCACTAACAAATACAAACTTGTTGCGAAGCTTCCTTTCCAGTGAAGAGCACGCAGGAACCTGGGTGGAAACTCCACACACTCTCTGCGAGGAGGGAACTTAGGCGGCAGTGGTGGTGGTGGCGATGGCCGGTGGCTGATTTAAACAGCCTGCTGGCATGACGATGTGAATGTATGTAATGCCACAGTAGAACACCCTTAGACATGGCTGGGCTAGGACATTTTAGATTATGTGTATTTCACAATTAAGAACAAAAGCAGTGGATAGAGCGTTGGCCTGCGGACTCAAGGGTCCCAGGTTCGATTCTGGTCAAGGGCATGTACCTTGGTTGCAGGCACATCCTCAGGAGGGGGTGTGCAGGAGGCAGCTGATTGATGTTTCTCTCTCATTGATGTTTCTAACTCTCTATCCTTTTCCCTTCCTCTCTGTAAAAAAATCAATAAAATATATATATTTTAAAAGCAGAGGCAGAAATAAAGGTGGCGAGGGGAACAAAACAATAACGCTTTGAGCAACAATGACGGCAAAATCTATCGACCGTGGCCTGGGTGTCCATGGTGCGAGAGCTCGTTACCGGGCTCCACGAGGTCTTTTTGTACCTTTTTGTTCCTGTGGGGAGTGAGGCAGGTTTCCCAGAGGAGTGACTGTTTCCCTGCTCCCCCGGCTACAGTGAGATTGCACTGCGTTCATCATTCAGGCCGTGACAGGGTGGGGAAGTGGCTGCACGCCCCTCACCTAGCTGCAGCGTGGCGGCCAGCAGCGCGTGGATGTAGACCGTGAACTGCGCTCGGATCCACTCGTCGCCCCCCTCCCAGCCCGTGCCGTCCAGGAAGATGTCGTCGCGGTTCTCGGTCACGTGCTTCACCAGGTAGTCGGCGAACCTGAGGTCGGCCGTGGTGGGGCTGAGCAGCTTCCTCAGCTCGGGGTCCTGGACCTGGATCAGCGCCTCTTCCACCTGCGGGGCACACAGGCACGAGTCAGTGCGGCTCTCACGCGGTCCCACGGCAACCACTGGCCTGGCTGGGGTGGCTCAGTCCTTGAGCATCCATCTGCGCACCAGGAGGGCCCGGATGGATTCTGGTCCGGGCGCATGCCGGGGTTGCAGGCTCGATCCCCACAGGTATCAAATAGGGACGGTAACAGTATGTACCACATGGGCTGTCATGCAAATTACATCAGTTAATATACCTGTGGCGCTCAGAATGCCTGGCTGGCGCAGGGAGCAGTTAGCACCGTTATCAGTTACTAGAGGCCCGATGCATGAAGATTCGTGCAAGAATGGGCCTTCCTTCCCCTGGCTGCCGGCAGCGCCTTTGCTCTGGCCAGAGCTGCCTTTCCACCTTCCCACGCTGCCCAGAGGCCTGGAGTAGCTGGGGCGGTGTGGACCGACTGCATCATCATCATCATGGCAATAACGTAAGTGTCCCGCCCCGGCTGCTAGCGCCTGTGTATGCAAATTAACCTTCCATCTTTGCTGGGTTGATTTGCATACCCACTCCTGATTGGCCGGTGGGCATCATGAAGGTACGGGCCAATTTGCATCTTTCTCTTTTATTAGTGTAGATGACTCTGCCTTCCTCATTCCAAATCAGAAAGGATCCCAGGGCCCTGCAGCACCAAGGACACTCAGGCATAAACCTACTTCCACGATGGCATCACTGAGGTGCTTCTGTTGCCGAAAAAGGATGTTAGTAGCTCCAGCAACAAATCCCCGAACGGTGACATCCGAGAGAAGGTGATGCTGCTGCAATGCCATGTAAGGCAAACACAGATATCCCTAGGAATCACAAGAGTAACACAGAGTATTAGAAAAGCAACGGAATAATCACCTCCCTCTTCACGCCCAGAGAAAGGAAACTCCCGATTTTCTCCCATCTCCTCGCCATCTGGAACGCAGCCGATCCCGACTCCCTGCAATAATGTTCCCAGGCACCCTCAGGCTGTGACTGCACGAACGGTCGACCTTGGCAAGGTCATCTAATATGAAGGCTGTCTTCCTCCATCACTTTATTCTCGGTTCAACTTAAAAGCCTCCACAGTAACTAACAAGCTGGACTTTTTCACTTAGGAACTGAAATATGAAGCCCATTCACAAGCATGTTGTTTAGCAGAAAGCTGTTAGCTCGTCTAGTAAAATTTTACCCCTGCCTCTGCACAAAACCTCTGATGCATTAGTAGGAGAAGCACACAGCACTCAATTTCCTGTTTTACTGTCTTCTTGTTAAAAATTATGCAAAAATATTTCAAGATATTTGCTCCTACATGCTGGAAGCAAAAAATGATAGTTGGCAGTACTTGAGTATTTAGTTAACTTCCATTTGAATTGTATTTGAAAATTTCACTGCCTTAAAAATTACAACTGAATTGCCAAAGCACAGCAGGCAGAAAGTGTACAAAAAGCAGCGTATCTCCTGACAATGAAGGGGTTGACACTGGACTGATGCTCTGGAGGAGGACAGGGGATCTCTGCCGAAAGATTCCACAATGAGATGGACTGTCAACAGGTGGCACGATTTGTGAATGAAGCCAGGAAGGCGGGCTTGCGGAAACCCTGGAGTTGTTTTCAATCTCAAGTTCTGTGACAGTTTTATTTGATTATTTTTAAACTTCTCATCATTTTTCTAAAAACACCGAACCGTTCCCTGGAAGCTGTGTTGTTTAAGTCACCAGCGAGACTATGGGGGCAGGAGCTTCCTGTGCCTTTTGCTGCTGCGGGTTCTCCTCTGCAGCTAGGATGCGCCTTGGGCCTCTCAGGTGGTTGCTGAACTGCCTGCTGGGGGTGAGGCTTCCAAAAGTCGGAATACGGGTCTAGTAACTTGTTTTTATTCTTAGACTTGACAATCTCATCTTCTGCTTGGTAAATGCTAACTAACAGCAGCAAAAGGAAGCCCACGTCTATGCATTAAAGATACTCAGCACGGTGTTTCTCAACCCTCGCCCTCTCGTGACTGAAGGCTGTAGGAACCCTGCTCCTCCTGCAGAAACAGATCAGAGAGCTGGCCAGGGCTCAGGTTTACCCTTCACTTTATGTGACAAGCATTTTAAAACAAGACTCCCCTCGACCCCAGCTCCCTGTTTTTAGACATAAATATTGTAATAGTGAATGGACTTTCAAACAGAATACTCACTCCCCCAACTAGAACTGAGAATCCTTGCTAACGGCACTCTCAGAACAGCCATTCTTACAAAAGATTTATACTGCAAAAACAGTGATAAAGGAATTTAATTGTTCTTAGTATTACATTCATAATTTATGCTGTAAGAGCAGAAAAGTTTATCTCAACAATGGAATCTTGGCTAAGTCTCTAAAATCATGAAAACGCAAAAGCATGTTTATTTATTTATTTATTTATTAAATGCAGGGAATTCTTTTTTAAAAAAAATATATATTTTATTGATTTTTCACAGAGAGGAAGGGAGAGAGCCAGAGAGCCAGAAATGTCTATGAGAGAGAAACATCGACCAGCTGCCTCCTGCACACCCCCCACCGGGGATGTGCCAGCAACCAAGGCACATGCCCCTGACTGGAATCGAACCCGGGACCCTTCAGTCGCAGACCGACGCTCTACCACTGAGCCAAACCGGTCTTGGCCAAAAACATGTTTTTAAAAAAATCAATAGATCAAAGCTTTGTAAGAATGTGAAAAAATGCATCTCTTAAAAATACATATTCAAAGTAAACAAGAAAGCCGAAACCAGTTTTGCTCAGTGGATAAAGCGTCAGCCTGTGGACTGGAAGGTGCGCAGAAGGGAGTGAGGCAGTGGAGAAGGGAGGGAGGCAAGGTGGCAGCGGAGACGGCAGGGAAGCCCGCCTCAGTTTCGCTCCCTTCTCTGCTTCGCTCCGGCTGCAGGAAGCCCTGTTCTTGCAGGAATTGTCTTGCAACAGGCCTAATTCAAAACAGCTTTCACATTTTGCTATCATTACCTTTTTTTTTTTTTTTTTTTTTAAATGATGATCAAATGAGCCTCAATCTCTTAACAGCCTTTAGCATACAGTGGCAGCAAGAACTTGGGTCCTTTCACATAAAGCAGCCTCTATAGCCAAGCCCACCCCCTCCCGGTTTTCCATTTTCCTGGGGTACTTTAGCTTCCGTTTGGAGCTGCCGTACATAACGGTAAAAAGAAAAATGAAAAGTTAATCGCATACTCGTGTGCACAGCAACATTATTCACAAGAGCCAAAGCATGGAAGCAACCCAGAGTCCACTGAAGGAGAAGCAGATAAATACAATGTGACACAGACTTACAGCGTAATATGATTGAACCCTAAAAGGAAGGCAGTCACAAAAAGGTAAACTCTCTGTGATTCCACTCATAAGGTATTTAAAGTAGTCAAATGCACAGAAACAGAAAGGAGGCGGGTGGCCAGGGGCTGAGGAGGAGAGAATGGGGAGCTGGTGCTTAGTGGGTATAGACTTTCAGTTTTGCAAGATGACAAAGCTCTGGAGATCTATAGCACAGCCGTGTGAATATACCTTAACACTACGAACTGTGCACTAAAAATGGCGAAGAGGTAAATGTTATGTTTTTTACCATAATTAAAAAACAAGCCCTCCACCCCCGCCCCCCACCACACACCCCCGCTGAGCTTGGCAGACCTGGAAGAACCACTGAGAGCTGATCCGCCAAGAGCAGCGGAAACGCAGTGTGCCTTCCCTCCCTCCTGCGCCTGGAAAGGGCTACAAGTGATCAGGGCTAACAGCCACTCCTCATCTGGCCTCTGGTCAGGGATGATAAGCTCACTCGCCAACCAAAACCTCTTTATTGCAGGGCTGCCCGTTCTCCCCAAAATTCACCTAGCGTTTAAAGGTAATCCCTATCAAAATGCCAACCTGGATGAGTGGGAACGTAAGTCAATCCTAAAATTGATGTGGAAGTGCGTAGAAAATCTTTTTATTATTATTATATTAGAGGCCCAGTGCACAGATTCGTGCAGTGGTGGGGTCCCCCGGCCTGGCAATCCAGGACCACTCAGGGGATGTCGGACTGCCAGTTTTGGCCTGATCCCTATAAAAGCAGGCCAGGCTTTTATATATATACTAGAGGCCCAGTGCAGGAAATTCATGCACAGGTAGGGCCCTAGGTCTGGTCAGCTATCAGGGCCGATCTGTGGGGCAACCAGCAGGGCAATCGGGGGGAGAGGGGGTGTTCCTGTTGGCACCCACCTTGACTGGCCTGGTGCCACCTGCTTGCTAGCCCTGTTTTCTGCCGCTGGTCGCCTCCCTCAGTGGGGTGACTGGCAGGGTGATTTGTGGGGGGGCGAGGAGGGCCCTGCTCGAACCTGCCTTGGCTGGCCTGGGGCCTGCAGGCTGGGGGAAGCTCCTGCATTGAGCATCTGCCCCCTGGTCTGCTGGTTGTTCCGCAGTTTGGACAATTTGCATATTAGGCTTTTATTATATAGGATAAATATACATATACATATACATATATACATATATACATATATATATTAACTTTAAAAATTTTTTATTGGATTTATTGGGGTGACATTGGTTAACAAAATGACATAGGTTTCAAGTGCACAACTCTATATAATACATCATCTATAGACTTGTGTGTTCAAAGTCTAGTCTCCTTCCATCACCATTTATCCCCCTTTACTCTCGTCCACTTACCCACCTTCTTCCCCTCTGGTAACCACTATACTGTTGTCTGTGCCTTTAATTTGTTTGTTTTTTTCTTATTAATCCCTATGTCGTGTTTAAGTTATTTTAAAAATTGCAAAAAGAAGTAGTAAATAAAAAATTACAAATACATTTTGAATGGTTTTTCATACAAAGATTAAAACATAATTTTATGGGCAAGTTAACCAAAACACTAAATCTGTGAGGTGTACTGTTTAAGTTAGCCACTATGCAGTTTTTCCTTATAGGATTATAGCTTTTGGAATTGTAGTATTTGATATATATTCATTAAGTGTAATCAAGACGGTCTAGCCCTAGCTGGTTTAGTTTAATGGCTAGAGCATTGGCCTGTAGACTGAAGGGTTCTGGTCAAGGGCACATGCCTGGGTTGTGGGCTGAATCCCTAGTAGGAGGCATGCAGGAGGCAGCCGGTCAATGATTCTCTCTCATCATTGATATTTCTCTCTCTCTTACTCTCTCTCTCTCTCCTTCTCTAAAATCATTAAAAATATTTTAAAAGAACTCTGTCTAGAGTTTCTCAATTCATCTTTTTTTCGAAGATAAACCTGAATGATTACAAGCAGACCCCACTCAGTGATGGCTGACCTCATATTTACTAAGATTCCCAATTCTTCCCAATTGAAACTGCCTGAATGAATTCCTTATAGTCTTTCAACTACAGTCACAGATGCCACCACAGTACACATTTGGTACGTGTTTTAGTTTTCAAGGAAAATTTTCCGATCTGAAAACGCGTGCAGCACAAAAAGCTAAATTCCGAAAGGACGCGGCCAGCCTTTAAGGACTAAGGACGTTACACCTTACCTTTGTGAAGATGGCCAGGGGCATGCCATACTGGTCCTCTTCCAAACCGGAAATCAGCCCCGGGAGCAGGACCACCTGGCCCATGTTGGCTTGAGGTTGGACAGTAATCGGAGCGCTGTCTGAGGGCACCAACTCCCTGGGAAACGAGTTTGTCTGTTCTGACCCCACCTGGTCCCTTTCCTTCAAGCCGGGGTCCTCCAAGATACTGGGATCCAAGGTCTCCCAGTCACTTTCTGAAGACTCTGGAGATGGACGAGAAGGAGGTTTCAAATACGGGCTGGTCTCACTGGGTCCCAGCCCCTTGCTGCTGTTCTCTGCTGGGAACAAAGGTTCTTCCGTTGCGATGGCAGCATCTCCATCGTGGTTTCCCGTCAGGGTTTTCCTGGCAGTTTCTGAGTTGGTACAAGTGATGTTAGGAGCAGACACAGAAACAAAATCATCTGCAGGGGGGTTGTTTTCCTGAAGCCCAGCATCTTCAGACATACTCTTCCGAGGTTTGTACTGAGAACAGTCCCTGAGACCATGCTCGATCATGCCTGGAACAGGAAAGATGGGAGGACAGCTTAGTTTGTAATGAAGAGGAAGTGAGGAAGAGTTGTGTATTCTATTCTAAGCAGCTGGACTCTCCTATAAAAATGTTAAAAGCTATGCTTGCATACATTCCAATGAAAAATAATGAAAATGTCAGACAACACACACACACACACACACACACAAAAAAAAACTACTGCCAAAACAAAATGTCATATTAAACTAGGAATGTTAACCCTGATGAGTTTATCCTTGAACACCTTTACCACTGAAAGTTCCAGCACAAGCTAACCAACAGGAAGAGTAGATACTGTTACCTTCTTACCTGGAAAAAGGGATAACACGGTCATCAGGGCACCCACCAGTTTATTCACTGGAGAAATATAAAAGAGAACCTGAAATGGATTCAATGACAATCCAATTAGAAAATCAGAGTCCACATGATATTAAAAAAAAAAAAAAAAAGAAAGAAAGAAAGAAAGAAAAAGAGGGAGAAAAAGAGAAGAAAGCCCTTCTTTACTAAAGAATAATAGTTAGTTAATGACAGAATTAGAAAACCACCAGGTAAAAATTACCAGCGGACGTTAAAACTATTGTGAAGGGCCGAAGCTGGTTTGGCTCAGTGGTAGAGCGTCGGTCTGCGGACTGAAGGGTCCCAGGTTCGATTCCGGTTTAGGGCATGTACCTCGGTTTCGGGCACATCCCTAGTGGGGGGTGTGCAAGAGGCAGCTAATCAATGTTTCTCTCTCATTGATATTTCTAACTCTCTATCCCTCTCCCTTCCTCTCTGTGAAAAATCAATACAATATATTAAAAAAAACAGTTTATAGGACATTATTATGACATATGTGGAAATTTAAAAATGGACTTCAATATTAGGTATCATTGATTGTATTAATGTTACATTTCTTGAATCTGAAAATGGTATTTTGATTATATATATATAACTGTCTCCTCAAAAAAGAGCGCATAAACTTATGCTTCTATGGCAGTGGACAGGAATATGGGCTTAAACAGAAGAAAGAAAGAAAGAAAGAAAGAAAGAAAGAAAGAAAGAAAGAAAGAAAGAAAGAAAGAAAGAAAGAGAAAAGAAAAGAATAAATAAATTAAAATGTGGGCTTTAGCTCATCATAATTTGATAGGCAAAAAACATTATACTTTATTAGTTTTAATTGTATATAATATTTAAGAAATGTCAATAAATGTCAAATATTCCACCCCACCCAATCTCACCTTTTTTTCAAGAAGAATTAATTTAAACAGAATTAAGACCTAAACAAAAAAAGAAACACTGTATTAAAATAAGAAATGCAAGCCTATTATTTATTTGCCTCTTCCTGTCTGCAAAGATACTATATATCATCTAATCAATATTAAAATAATTACAGTGCTTTAAAAATTACATTGAAAAATCATGAATTTATACTAAAAAATTAAATATTATCTGTGTCCTCTAAAAGTATGAAAACCACTTAAATCTCTAACAAATTGTGTTTTTGGAAGGAGTTGTGCCATTTTTGCTTGAAATATTGCAAGCTCCTTAAAGGCTGGGAACTACTCATTTATTTCTGAACTAGAGGCCTGATGCAAGAAAATTCATGCAAGAGTAGGCCTTCCTTCGCCCAGCTACGGGCACCAGCTTCCCTCTGACACCCAGGGACCCAAAACCCAGGACTTGGGCATCCCTCCCCCAGCTGCCGGGAGGTACCCAGGACCCTGGTTGGCTTCCCTGGGGTCACCCACAGGCACCCAGGACCCCGGTTTTGTCAGGAAGGACATCCAGAATGATGTCCGGAAGACATCCAGTCTAATTAGCATATTACCCTTTTATTATTATAGGTTATTATAGATATGTCCAGAGCATTCACCCAACAGATACTCAGTAAATGCTTGGTAAGTGAATGATCAACGCGCCCTAGCCAACACATGCTTCTGTACTAAGATCAGAAGTATTGATAATACACATAGAAATTCTACTGGAAAATGTTTCACTCTTAAGGCAACAAATAAAATATTCTGCAAGATTGAAACATGTATCTTCCCACTCTAACTTCATGGTACCAGAAATTACAAAGACAATGGAAAAAAGTACTCTCTCCTACATCACAGACAGCATCTGTACATGTTCATAAATTTCTCTCATACAAGCATTACCAGAACTTCCGGCTCATGTCATCACGAGAGATGTCTTAGAAAACTGAAACGTGGCTGTGCCATAATCTGCATTTGACCGCGCAGCACATGGCATCTGCCCAGTTAAATGAACACCTTTTAGGACAGCAGAGGTTAAGTGCATACCTTGTGTCGAAAATGAAGCACAAGATCCCGAGGCGACAGACCTACACAGGTAACAGAAAAGCGGATCTGTGACTACAGCCTGCTGTTTTTGTCGGAAAAGTTTTTTCTCCTCAGAGGAAAGTCAGGTAAAAACAAAACTAGGAATATGCTAGTATTGAAATATTATACAGTAATCGATCACATATACATGGACTCAGAATTCATCAGATTACTAACAGTCAAACACAGCACTGCAACGATGAAAAGGAAGAACTATCTGCAGTGATGGAAGTATTCTAAATTGGGGTTGCCCAATCCAGTGGCCACAGAGCCCTCGAAATGTGCCAAGTGGAATTGGCAAACTAACCTTTAAATTTTATTTAATTTGTATTAAGTCTAATATAAATGTAAATGGTCATGCCCTGGCCAGATGCTCAGGTATGATCCTCAGGCAGAGCAAATACAAAAAAACCAACCAATGAATACATAAAGAATTAGAACAACAAATCAATGCTCCTCTCTCTCAAAACAATTAAAAAAAAAAAGAAAAAAAAGAAGCCGAAACCGGTTTGGCTCAGTGGATAGAGCGTTGGCTTGGGGACTGAAAGGTCCCGGGTTCGATTCCGGTCAAGGGCATCTACCTTGGTTGCGGGCATATCCCCAGTAGAGGGTGTGCATGAGGCAGCTGATCAATGACTCTCTCATCGATGTTTCTAACTCTGTATCTCTCTCCCTTCCTCTCTATACAAAATCAATAAAAATATATATTAAAAAAAAAGAAGTTAAATGTAGTCACATCACTAGTGAACACTGCTATGGACAGTGTAGCTCTAACACTTTCCCAAATTCTACAAACAAACATCTTAGAAGTGACACAAGCTTAGAGATTATAAAGCTGGTACTAAGGTGGCAATCAATCATTTAAACATGCTTTTTTGGTCACTACACTCCATAGGCTATTATTTCTGAGTCACAGTCTTCTCTGATTATTTGTCAGAGGAAAATAAAATAATTTAGAGAGAAATATGTTCTCGGAATAGAAATTTTGTAACCAGCTTTTGTAGCACATGGGATTACAAAAGTGAAGACAAGACTTCATGCTGAAATAGAAATTGAGTGGGCATAAATCACTTTTGTTTTAATCATAAAAAGGATATTTACTGAGTGCCCACTGAGTACCATGGACACCAATGCAGATTCTGGGTTGTCAAATAGAACAAATTAAAAAAAAAAACCAACTTGGAAAACCTTAAAACAGAAAAGCGCTAAGCAGATCTCTCTCTTGCCCTCCCATGGAATTGACCAGTATTAGTAGTAATGTAAGAAAAAGAAAAAACTTCCATTTTTATTCTGAAAACCAGAAATGTCCTTAAACAGTAATAGTTTCGAATATTGGTACAGGTATGTTATACTAATGAGCAAAATAAACTGATGAATAAAACAAAAACAGAGGCACGGATCCATGGATCAGACTGACAGCTGTCAGAGGGGAGGGGGGGTGAGGGACTGGATGAAAGAAGGTGAAGAGATTAGCCAAAGAGCGTATATGCACAGCCCCTGGACACAGACAACAGTAGTGATAACTGGAGGGAAGGGGAATAGGGGAATGACTGGGTGGAGTGGGCAAAGGTGGGGAAAATAGGGACATCTGAAAGAGTGCCAACAATTTTTAAAAAAGCAAAAAAAAAAAAAAAAAGGTCTATTATACCTTTGCCAATATAAATACCGGCTAAGAAGATAGGTAAGGAAGCAGCAGCATCAGGCGTTGAAGAGTTTAGGTCCATATAGAAATGTAGTTCTGATCATGAAGTTTCACATGCACCTAACTCGGTGCCCCAAAGAGAAGTGAGGGCGTTTCTCCCCACCTGTCAGAAAGCCACTTACCAAGATACACTTGGGACCCCTCCAGTGACGCTCCTCCCAAGGAACTGTTCATATGTTCATAGAGTTCCTACAAAGTACAGATTCCATTAGACACTCTGGGCACTGAATTAGAACCATGATGATCGGGAAGAAACTGCTTCTTTAGTTGAGGCAGTTTGTTCTGCCAGGCCCTAAATTTATTTTTATTTTTAAATATATTTTTATTGATTTCAGAGAGGAAGGGAGAGGGAGAGAGAGAGAGAGAAACATCAATGATGACAGAGAATCATTGATCAGCTGCCTCTGGCATGCCCCCTACTGAGGATTGAGCCTGCAACCGGGTATGTGCCCTTGACCACAACTGAACCTGGACCCTTCAGTCCACAGGCCGATGCTCTACCCACAGAGACAAACCGGCTAGGGCCAGGCCCTAAATTTAGAAACAATCAGGGTCTCTCTGAAGACTTGCCTTGCCAGCATTCTTCCCATCTTTGCCTCTACACTTTAGACTTTGATTCATTCACATGGTGCGAAGGACTCCTGGATAAATTCCCCCTACTTTCTTGCTAAATACCTAACTGTCCTACTCTCACCAGAATCTCTGAGAGAACCATGTTCTACCTATTCACGGCAACCTGGAGAAAACATGCTCTCCATTTCAATAAAATAATCATGTAGTTTTCCAGGGTTTTGCAATGGGGGTTAGGAGCCAGAAGCCTGATACATAGCATACTGAGCAGGATGTTACTAAGACAAGCAGATTTGGAGAAGCAATGCCATAGCAAAAGGGCTATTACCCTTTTATTAATAGAAACATTTATGTTATTTGCAGTCATCTGCATTATTTCCTAATAAAAGGCATTTTGGTTACATACAATAAGTATGAACTGTACATTTTGGGCAGTTCCCTATCCTTTCAATGTTATTTTCAAAGAATGATAATGTCTTTCTTAAGGTAGTAAGTGATCATCTTTCACAATATTACTGGCAGGATTTACTCGATTCATCAAACTTATCTGTGGAGGGGTACAAATTTACCTTTAGAATGGAAATTTGGGAAAAATCCTTCTCTTCAAAATATGCATGTGTAATGAGCTGAAGTTTTGCTTGAAGCAAGCCATAGAGAGGCTTAAAGGAAAAAACAAAGAAAACTGCCGTTAGTATGGTGAGAGTAAAAATACAAACACCCCACAGCCTCTCAACTGGAAGAGAACAGGAAGGAGGAAGTTAGTAACTCTCAACATCAGGGTCCTATTCACTGAGAGCCCTGACCTCCCTCCTCTAGCTCCCTGGCTGCAGCTGACGGTGTGGCACCCACTGAGCGGGCAGTGGTTGAGTGTGGGCACCGACCTCCTGGTCCCCCACCACTCAGCTGTGTAACCGGGCACTTCCCCCTGCATCCCTGCTTGCTGCTGTGAGCCTGGGTGCCTGAAAAGACAGCATCTTCAGGAGTTGCTTTCAGAATTGAACAACCAGGGGGAAGCACTTAGTAGAGAATTGGGCACCCAGGAAGGACCGAGATGTTGGCTATTATTATCATAATTCAAACCATCGCCTAATACTGCACACGGTTCTGCTGGCTTGTGGAGACATTTAACTGTCCTTGAAGCAGCCAGTGCTTATAGCTAGTTGAACATGCGTAATTAAATTTCCGTTTTCTGTCTTCTGTCGAGGCTTACAACTAGTCTGTGTCCTCTATCATAACATTTTTCTATATATCGATACTTGAACCAAGTTATTCCTTAGTTCTTAATTTTCCTATTTAAGACCCTCTCTTACCACTTCCATTCTTTTATTCGTGATGTTCTTTTCTAGATGTTTTCTGATATCTATTTTCTTTTTAGGATCTATGTTCTTTTCTAGATGTTTTCTGATATCTATTTTCTTTTTAGAATAATTAAAAAAATGCTGCATATTTTTTTAATTAATTAAGGCAGGTAACACTAGAATAGTTCCCCCACTACTCCCAGTATTCCTGTTACTGTATCATTATTACCATCAGAGTATTAAGCCAGCATATTTGAATCCTTAGACTACACTGCACTGTGAACCACCGACCCCTTAGTATGTGCTAGCTCTCCTCACGCCCAAGCCTGGTTAGAGACAGGACGGATTTTCAGCCCAGTTTTACCACTTAGTAGCTCTATGCCTACAAGGGACACCTTTTTCTCTGAAACATATCTTTACTTGTAAAATGAGAACAGTAAATACTTATAGCTCACAGTTGTTATGAGGATTAAAATGACAATTATATCCAAAAAGTGTGTGATATAGAGTTAATACCTGACACATAGGCAATAGATAAATGACATTTATTTTCATTATATCTGTTCTCTGAAGAACGATTACTGAGTAAGCTTTTCAACACCTTGCATTTGCTTTAGTATCTAGTGCTCCTATGCTTTCTTTTCTTTCGTCATGTGATATAAAAAAAGTATTTCACAGATGTATATTTTTCAGGCCACCCTTCTAGTATCTGTACATGGATCAGATTTGCAATCTACCAATTTCCTGATATGTATAATCATTCTTTTGACTATTCTTGCTCTATTCATAAAATTACTGTCTTGTGAGAAATATTCTGATCCTCAAAACCTTAATGTTAAGGCCAATAAGTATTAAATTATTATTATTCAGATATTTTCTGAACTTAGTTTTTGAACTTAGTAATAAAAACCAAATAAATTATCTCTTGCAAAACTCAACTTATCTTAAACAAACTACATTTAAATTGTCTGTGGATATAAGAAATTGGATAATCGCAGACGAAATAATTAAACAAAATCTACACACATTTAGTGATAGGCTAATAAAATATTCTCATCTTTGGTTTAGGTTAATGGCAGAAACATCCGTTTTCAGTAATCATATAGAGCTAAGGTAATTAACACGATAGAGATCTGGATTTCCCCACAAAGGAGGTTTGGGTATTATATATTACATGTAGGCTTAGGTATCTGGTGTTATTGGTAAAGGTGTTATTATCCTATTAGTAATAAAAGTGGAACATCACACGTGATTCAATGAAGAGAGATATAAAAAAATAAATGTTACATATTCCTTTTTAAAAATATAAAATGATGATACACTTGCAACTGATCAACTTGTACACAGAAGAAGCAATTTAAAGCACTGTCTTAGTGCATTTCATTATGCACTTCCCTTCCTCAAACATTTTCAGTTTGTAGAGAGCAAGTTAAGGCTACGACTTCACCATAAAAGGGTCATGCACTTCTAGTATCATCAATAAAATCTGAATATGATTATAGTACTTTGAATTTTAGTAAAATGTTATTTATTCAAAGTCTTGGGAACAAAACAAAAATGTATAGATGAAATGTACATTTCGATCATGTGTCCCCTACCTTCCCCACAACCTATCTGTTAGATCTTCTTCTCTGACCTCGCTTTGGGTGGAGGGCAAATGAGCATGAAGGGCAAAGAGAACGAGGGGCTGCGAGAGCCTAGATACTAAGTCACTGGAGGATGTGAATAAGTCTTCTGGATCTGTCCTTAGACTAATAATGCTGATCCCCGAGTGGGAATCTGTCAGGAGAGTTTAACAACCACGTTCGCAGGGCGAGATCTGGTCTCTTACCAGCTTGCTTAGAACACAGACGCTTTTCTGCACGGTCTCTCTGGTGACATCTGCATGCCGGACTTTCAATGCCTGTCACAAATAGTCACTGTTAGAAATACTTAAAAATAATTCCTCTTCAACATAAACATAGCAAGGAGATAGAAAACATTCCTTGCATTTGCTTAATTGCATGCAAAAAGTATTTATTGAGAATCTCAGAAAATATTCCTTGGACCCGTCGGCCAGGGCACTGCGTGCTGGAATATGGGAGGCGAAGGGAACAGTGAGAGACAGTCTCTATTATCAGGAATTTACAGTCTGACGGAGAATGCTTTATGTGCAGGTTGCCACGCTCAATGCCCATCAGCCATCCTTGTTCTGGTGGTAAAATGGGCTGCTCTTTCGGAGGCACCATTTCTGGTGAGAAGGAGATAGTTTAAGAGACAAAAAAACCTTGGTGAAGGTGGCTGTCCTAGGTTGGTATTGCAGCCAGCTCTGAGCAGTGTCGCATGCCTCCATGATTCCAAGGGTGACGTGAGGGCTTTCTCCTGCTCTCCGCCAGCAGAAAACAGCCCGATCAGGTCAGCCGCAGGGGAGGCTGTGAGGCAGTCAGAGTGACTCTCCCTCCCTAGGGCACCGCCTGACAGCCCCTGGCATCTGTCCTGAGGAGCTTCCTGCCCTCAGCGGGCTGCAGACTAGTGGCTGCATGAAGTCGGGTGGGGAGCCTTTCCTCCATGTTTCTCCCTCTCCACCTTGCTTGGATTCATTCATCAGGTCCCCCCTCATTCAAAGGGGATTCAAGTCCTTCTCTTAGGCGCTGGGCCCCTCTGCTATCTGGCTTATCTGTCTGGTTACCCGAAGAGGCTAGAAAAACGTGGAGAAAAGGGCAGCCACAATATACTCTGGAGTTGGTCAGACCGGGGGTGGGGGATTGAGGAGGGAGACAGGCAGTATGAAATGCCACCTAAAGGTTACACAGAGCATGGGAACTGTTGATAAAACTGTAGGGGATAAGAGGGAGTAAAGGAACAGACTTCCCAGAAAGGACAGTAGCTCAATTCATCTCACAGGAAAGAGTGTAAGGGTAACAGTATATGAAGAAATCAAATGCACAAAGCTACCATACAGAATAGCCCTCCTGCAAAAAAAGCCAGTGCTGTTTCAGAAGCAAACCATAAAAGGGGAAGCTGCCCACCTTAGTGTATGTGAATTTATTAATTAGGGCTATTAAGCTGGCAAGTAGTTTAAGAATTATCAAAATCGTAGTCACAGATAACTAAGATAACTGGCAAGTGGTTTGGAGCTACTATAAGAGCTTTCTACTACTTCTAAAATGCTGCTTCAAAAAACAAAAAACAAAAGACACTCATTACCACTCCATTTCTCTAAGTTATACACCAAACACTAGAATTGGAAAAAGTTCAAGGACACTATGAAATTTAAACACAGCATTCTGCAGACAAATGACTAAGTTTGGTATCACTATCTGAAAACAATGTGCAAAATATGACATGATACAATTATAATTATAATTACCCGTATCAACTCACAAAGACATGTATGTGAATAAATTGTTACTATTGGGCAAACAGCTACACACCGTTTATAAAAATGTAAAACAATATCACAGGTCCCACAGATGCATGTCCCCAAATTTTACATTTTGGGTGAGCAATATTTAAGAAAGAATTTTCAAGGTTTTTTGTTGTTGTTGTTGTTGTTCACTGTAAGTGTCTTACTTTGGCTTCAATCTGCCGATAGCAAGAGATGCCATACACGGTGGCTCCGTTTCCATTTCGGGGTGGCAGGTGAAAAAACACAGTATCTAAGAGACACACAGAAAAAGGCAGATACTGAAGTGATTGCCCTTATGAGTGAATGATGACACTGAAGTTACTGTAATGCAGTCATTACAAACAAGACTGTACTGGGAACCCCCGCACGCACTTGCTTTCAGCACCATCACCACTGGCTGTGAGAACCCCTCTCTCGGCCTGCCGGCACATACCCATCACCAAAGCACGGGAGGCTGAATCAGAGCAGGTCTCAGCAGGTCACTTAGCTCAGAAAATACCTGATCTATACAGGCTTCTTCCAGATCAAAACAAAACAGAACTGAAAAACTAAAAGCAATGCATGATTCTTGACCAGAAACTCCTGCACGCCTGGGGAAACCTGAACACAGCCTGGGTATTAAGTGGCATTATGGACTTACTGACAAATCTCTTGGCTGTGATACTGATATTGATTATCCTGGGAAGGACCTTATTCTTGAAGACGCATGCTAAGGTAACAAGGGCTAAGGTGTCATGATATTTACAACTGACTTTCAAGTGGTACAGGCAAAACTGGGCACCAACACAAATACAAAGGACACTGTGGGATATTCGCTACACTCATCTTTCAACTTTTCTGCATGTTTAAAAGCATTTATAATACAAAAAATTGGGATAAAAACATCTGTAAGGCCCTAACCAGTTTGGCTCAGTGGATAGAGCGTCGCCCTGCAGACTGAAGGGACCCGGGTTTGATTCCTTGGTTGTGGAATGTACCTTGGTTGTGGGCACATCCCCGTTGTGGGGTGTGCAGGAGGCAGCTGATCCATGTTTCTCTCTCATTAATGTTTCTAACTCTCTATCGGTGCCAGCCGTTTCCAGGTGGGCACCGGGCACTGACCGTGTACGTCTGCAGGCAGAGCCCCAGGCGGTTTGCTGGTGCAGCTGAGGCCTTAGTCTGCCCAAGAGGAGTCTGAGGTACAAAGGCAGGAAGTGCAACCAGCAGTGAACGTCCTAGTCTGGCTAGTCACTCACTTTGGCCAGGTTCCTGGCGAGCGAAGCCAGGGTTCACCAACCGTTACAATGCAAGCCTGGCTCTCAGCTGGAGATCCTTAGATCTTTTAGAGCATGAGCAGTCAGCTCCAACCAGCTCTGAAACATTTTATAAATAAGCACAATCAACCATCCTTTCTTTTTTTTCTTTTTACCAAACGACTGAACAGCAGGCTGAATGAGCGACTGGTCCTTTCATTCATTCATTTATTTGTTTGTTTGTTAATCCTCACCCGAGGATATTTTTCATTGCTTTTTAGAGAGAGTGGAAGGGAGGGGAGAGACACAGAGAGAGAAATATCATTGGGAGAGAGACACAGACACATTGATTGGTTGCCTCCCAAATGTGACCTGACAGGTGTGACCGGGGCGGGCCAGGGATCAGGCCTGCAACGGTAGGTACGTGCTCTTGACTGGAATGGAACCCGAGGTCCTTCCCTCCGAGGGTTGACACTCTATCCACTGAGTCCAACCGGCTAGGGCCAAAGGCATTTCATTTACAAAGTACTTGGCGTCTAAGATGTCTTGTCAAATTAAGAAAATGACACCGACCGCCCCACCGCCAATGTGCGTACCTTCCTGGTAGTTGTGTGCGCCATCGGGCAAGGCCAGGAAGGGCAGGTACTTCCATTCCTCAGGGATGGTGGGGCTGTCGTGTCCATCTCCTGGAATCAGGGGCGGGTAAGAGAATTCAACCTGAAACGGAAAGGAATGTTCTTAGCCAAAGGCTGTTGATCAAAGGGAGATTTTTATCTTGGAAGGCAGAAATGCTTTTAGATGCTGGAGAACTGCAGTCAGGATAAGCCACGCTTGTTGACGTATTTGACATTACCAGCAGACCTACGAGATAGTAAAGGAAGGACTTGTACCCCTCTCCCTCTTGCTGATTTAACAGGCTGCTGCATTCTCATGTGCATAGGAGGTGGTGGTGGCAGTGAGCGGGCTGAGAATGTCATAGATAGATGGTAATTGACGCCATGGAGCCCCGAGGAAACCCCACATCCCATTGAACAGAGTGGAGGGGGACGCCCAACAAAGAGGCCTGAGAAGTGAGCCAAGATCTAGGTTTGCTCCCCATCAATGGCTCCAATGCTCACATCTTCCAGCTCATGGTTTTGATGGGGGATTGGTGGGGCGTGAGGAGGTGTTAAGCAACATTTTGGATTTATTATTATTTTTCAAGATGGAGAATTTATCAATGAAAGTTCAATGAAGTCTCTCCAACACTGTGTCTTATAGAAAGAACAAAGGTTTTTTTTAAAATATATTTTTTTTATTGATTTCAGGGAGAGGGAGAGAGAGATAAAAACATCAATGATGAAAGTGAATCATTGATCAGCTGCTTCCTGCATGCCCCCCACTGGAAACCAAGCCAGCAACCCAGGTATGTGCTCTTGACCGGAATCGAACCTGGGACCCTTCGGTCCACAGGTTGACACTCTATCCCCTGAGCCAAACCAGCTAGAGCAAGAACAACGTTTTTAATATGTGCCCCCAGGTGCTGGCATCCCAGGCTTATTAGCATTTTCTCTGAGCTTCTAATTATTTTTATTTCAATGAGACTTTTGGAGAGGAGGGCAGAATAAAATGCTAGTTAGCTATTTTAAAATGTTATAATTCAGCCTGCCAGTGTGGGTCAGTTGGGGGGTCACTGGTTCAATTCCCGGTCTTAAGTGCTAGTTTTTTGTTTTGTTTTCTTCTTCTCTATATTTTCTCACTTTTCTACTACAGTGACTACATATTACTTATGATAAGAAATGTTACTTTTTAAAAACAGCTGGAATATGACTTAAAAATTGTCTAAAAATACCAATTTTAATAACAGTGGGAGCTGTATCGGTGTGTTGGGATCAGTAGGTGTTTAGATTCTTTGGTAGAACGGGAGGAAGGAATGGAAGATCCTCCCCATTCTCTTGCCTGTCCATCTGTCTCCCTCCTGTGGTGTCATCCCTGGTGGACCAGGGCCTCCTGCAGGCCTCCCTTCTCTAGCAACGGCCAAGCAACCCTGGGCACTTTCTAGTTACCGGGGAGGATTACAAGAGGACAAAAGCACCCTCCTGAAATTCCTAAACTTCCCTCATTCAGATTGACACGCACCCTGCTTAGCTGCGATGCCAAGGCCTAAATGACTATTCCACTCTCTGCATGTTAATATCGCAGCCCTCCAAAGCCAGGATGTTCATCACATGACAAGCATGTGAGCATCAGGAAAAAACCTCCACCAAAATATTAAAGTTCAAGAAATAAAAGTGCTGGGTAAGAGGGGAGAGAGACAGCATTGTTTTGCAAGTTTCTCTGAGAAGCTAAAACATCTCTGGACTTATACTTCCCTAACCTCTGACTTTCCAGTGTTTGTTCTTTTTATTCCAAAGGCCTACTTATTCCAACAAGAACCACAAAGGACACCTCCTTAGTGTTTCATCATCGTCACCACAGGATTTCATCCACAGCGGGTGCCAAAACTCCCTGCGTCAGCCAGCCATCTGTCACCGAAACCTGAATGGGTCGGAGCTTGCCAATATCACCCTAACACAACCACCCCAACCAGTCTCCACAACCCATCCCGAGTTTGCAGCACAACATCCTGTTACCCAGGATGTTCCCGGGATGGGACCACTCAGACCACCAGGAAAATATGTTGTTCTCTCCCTCATTCTACTTGCTTTACTCACCGTTGGAAATGGTGTCAACAGGAGTTCCAGGACTTTCATAATTCTACTTTTTTAAGACATACCATCTGGTAAGACCAGCTTATTCAAGCATTAAAATGTCTAGCCATGTACACAAAACCACGAACGGAACAAAATCAGAACAGTGGTCAAAAAATCAAGTAGTACTTCCAACTTTTTAGATATCATCACTTTGGAAAATAACTATTCTCTATTAATTTGAGTGTTTTAAAAAAAGGTCCAATCTATGAAAGAACCAAAAGGTTTAATTGATAAACATTTGATTATATTATTTTGCCAAAAAATAATCTGACACATACAGTTTATATTATTTAGTACCACAAAGCAAACAAGGAACAAAATAAAACTCTGAAACACACAATCTATAACAAGCAAGCTACTATAGAGGAAAAGCCCATCAATTATATCATGTCAAAGACTAATTTCAGATGAGTTTTTAAGGAAGAAGGGTCCTTGGCTAAATACTCAGTTTTTAAAAATTTCAGGGAAAGAATGGGAATAGATAAATACCTCAAAACTATTTTACATGTCTTGGTAGTACTTTCACTCACTTAAAACAAGTGTTCTAAATGTTAAGTCTAGCCATCAACTAGAATTATCACCACTAGAAATGAATATTATCTACAAAAGGATTCACTCCCGCAAATTATCCCAATAAGCATGAAAAAAAAAAATGGCCAAGTGATAAAATTAGTAGATGTTCACTTTCATTTAAATGGAGGAATTTTTCATTAAAATGTTTTTCATTTAAAATATATTTGAAGGCCTCAAAGGTGAAAAAAAGTTGGGAGACATGGGTCCACATGCCTATTTTGAGGGTCTTTAGCACGGCTGGACTGGAAGAGAGCTTTAACCTTGTGGTCCAGGTGAGTGGACCTCCCTCCTGTATCACGGCAGTAGCTCTAGAACAGCTTTTTAACAGGAGAGCCTACGCAAAGGCATCATGCTTAATTAGCCCTGCACACTGCTGCCAGCCACTTATTTACACAAAGGCTTCACTTTGGTTCCCCTTGATCTAAAAATGGCAAATGACACCCAAGTATGGGAATTTTCGCGATGAATAATCTCGGCACACGGAAAGAACTGGTGATCAGCATGACCTGCAGCATCTGCACAGGGTAAGGCCAGCCTAACGGCATCCTCCCGCTGTCTGAAGTCAGAGTCACAGGTCAGTGACCATGCATGCTGGGCCCCGCACCTGGAAGGACCACCGTCTTCAAACGGAGGAGGAGGTAGTGGAGGAGTACATCCCGAGGGAAGTCTTACACAACTGGCCGCTCTGAAACACCGGACAGGCTGATTCTTGTCTCTGCACTGTCTGATTTTAGCAAGAATCCTGTTTGGTTCAGCCAGAAACCCCCCTCCACCGATGATATAGTCAATTCCCATTCACCGACCCCCCATCTGCTCCTGGCCTATCAACTCCCAATGTTCCCTACTGCATTCAGGATGGAGCCTCGTTCTATAGTGAGATCTCTTTTTTCCCTCCTTCAACAGCTTTTCTGAATAAAATCTGGTTCTACCGCTTTTTTCGCTAGGGTCCGGCTCTGGTGCTCCTGATAGCACCAAATTAGCTGTAAATATGTGTGAGTCACTGAACCTTTCTGGGTTTCAGCTGACTCACCTGTAAGTGTAAGAGGGATGGAGTAGGTGATCTCTGAGGATCCCAGCCAGATCTGAACTCCTCCGGAGGAAATAAGGTTCAGAACAAACCCCAGCAGTTTGGACTCGCTGGAGGTCTGGGGCTATGAGGCCAGCACACCCTGGCTCCCAGCACAGAACCAGTCACCATGGTAAACCTCAGCGCTGACACCCCAAACCAGACACATCACAGAAATGCCAGTGCACAACTTCAGCCCAAAGTGCCCCTCGCACCTCACAATCTCTTTAATCTCCAGGCAGCGAGCAGCACTGCGTTTGCTTTTCTAAAGTAAGGCAGTCCCGGCGGGTGTGGGCCAGTGCTTGAGCGGCGGCCTATGAACCAGGATGATCCCAGGTCAGGGCAATTGCCCGGGATGCAGGTTCGAGCCCCCGTGTGGGTTGTTTAGGAGGTAGCCGATCAACGATTTCTCTCCCTTCCTCTCAGAAAACAATAAAAATACATTGAAAATAAAGTCATTTTTCCTCTCTGGAAATAAAAATTATGTTACTTTTGCCTGTAAAACAGATCTATGACCTAATAGTGAATCTCGACTTCAGAAGACAGCAAAAGTGAAAAGATTTTATTGTATCTCCTACCAATAGTTCCTTCTTTTTTGTCTTGAAAACAATTTGGTTCTGAAGCGGGGCTGCCATTTCTTACTGTACCCCGAGAGACTCCCAAATGCCACCTGGCTCCCCAGAATGCACTCAGGAGGTGCCAGAGCGATGGTACGTCCGCCTCCTGGGCTGTCCTGCAGTGTGACCTCAGCCAGGTCATCTTACTGCCTCTAAGCTTCAGTTACTGCACCCCCAGCCAAAGGAAGTTATAAAGTGACGAGATCAAAGCTGCAAAGTTTACAGACCTGATGATGATGAACACTTTTGCACGCCATGGCGCAAACTCAACTATCCATTCTCTCACCTGTAAATACTGGGTCACATTTTACAACCTTATAATGTACGGCCGCTTGGAATGTTCCAGATACAGCACCGAATAACGCCCCTTCCTCCGGGGTCTCTCTCTAAGCCATTCCCACCCGAGGGACAAGGAATGGCAAGCCGTCTTTAAAACACAAACACAACCATCTCCTCACTTCCTCCAACATTCCCCCGCACCCCCCATTATCATCCTTCTAACGAACTGAAATTGTGCCCACTGACGTCTTCTGAAATGTTACGTTCCCATGACAATACAAGAAAGAACTTGCCACGCTCCCGGGTGGCAGCTGCAATGAGCATGTTCTATAGTTTACACACATTTCCATTTCCTGTTCGCCAGGACATTGTGACATCACTGCCTTCCAGGGCCTGCGCTCCTTCTCTAACCCCGCTTCTGTCTTGTTCCCTGGCCTTCAACGCAGCGACTGCAGAGGTGCCATGGTCCCCTTCACCATTCCGCGAAGGAGCTTCAGAAAATGGCTTTGCAGAAATAATGAACAACATAAACAGACTCAGAGAAAGAGAAGCAGCAGACTTTCAAACCTCAGAAGGAAAGTAAGGGAGGGTGGGGGTAAGGGGAAGAGAGATCAATCAAAGGACTTGTGTGCATGCATATGGGCCTAGCCAGTGGCCATGGACAACAGGGGGGGTGGGGGCATATGTAGGGAGGGGTATGGGATGGGAATGGGGGGATGAGGATAATTATGTGATACTATTATCAATAAAAAAATATAAAAATAAAAAACTAAAAAAAAAAATGGCTTTGCATTGGCACATTTCCTGGCTCCTTTCATTGCACTTGAGCCGGGGAGGTCGGGCGCTCACCTGCCGGCAGGAGCTGGCCGCGATCACACAGCCGGACCGCGGCCCAATGGGGAGGCGGGGCGGGGCCGGGCACCTCCGGGCGCCGAGCCCAGGGCTTCCCAGATCAACAAAGGAAGTGGCTTTGTCCCCGCGGCAGGTGCCTCCAGCGACCCGAGGCGACACCTTCCCGCGCGGCCCAGGCGCTGGCTTCTCCGGACGGCTCCCGCCCTGGGCGGCACCCCGAAAGCCAACGGCGGCCGAGATGGACGGGGGAGGAGAATGGGGGGGTGGGGAGCGGGGCGGATCTTCCCTTCCTTCCTCCCGCTCCTCCAAAGAACCCAGACACCTCCCGACCCCAACACACCGCTCCCCGTGCCCAGTGCATGGCCCGGGGCAGGAGGAGGAAGGGGGGAGCGCGGGGCCGGCTGCAGGAGGGGACGAGCTCGGCGGCGAAGAAGGACCGAGGGCGCCGCAGGGAGGACGGGGCGTAGGGGATGGGCGCTGCCGGCGACCGGACGCCCGAGCGGCCGGGAAGGGGGTAAGGGTAGGGGTTAGGGGGCGATCGGGCCCCTTCCTCACCTGGCAGCCCTTCTTGTGGTGGAAGCCGACCACCACGATGTGCAGAACGGGCCCCCGCGGGGCGCCATCGCAGCCCCGCCCGGCCTTCTCCATGGGCAGCCGCCGCGGGCCCGCTCCCCCAGGACTTCAACCGCCGCGGGCGGCGGTGCCCCGGGGCCGGCGATCGGGGGACTGCAGGTGTCAGCCCGGGCGCCGCATGAGGCCGCGCCGGGGGCCCGGACAGGCTGAGGCTCCGCGGTCCGCCCCGCCCCCGGCCGCCGCCGCCGCCGCCGCCGCCGCCGCCGCCGCCCCCGGCCGCCGCCGCCGCCGCCGCGCTCGTCAGCCCCGCTGCTTCCGGGCGCTCGGCCGACGCAGCCGCCGCCGCCGGCGGGGGGCGGGGCCTGAGGGCCGGGCGGGCCGGGGGCGGGGCCTGCAGTGACCTCTCCACACACCTGTGTGCGCCCTGGTCTCCTGTCCACCTGCTTCCTCCTCCTTCTCCCTCCTTCACATCTCCGTCCCGCCCCACATCTTTTCTTCCTTTTTAACGTGTTTTCTGTGCATTCCTTCACTTCCTTTCCATGGGTTCTCTGCCCTGGGGTCTCTCTACCCTTTATTCTTTAAAAAAAAAAAAAAAAAAAAAAAAATATATATATATATATATATATATATATATATATATATATATTATCGATTTTTTACAGAGAGGAAGGGAGAGGGACAGAGAGTTAGAAACATCGACGAGAGTCATCGATCAGCTGCCTCTTCTACACCCCCTACTGGGGTTGTGCCCGCAACCAAGGTACATGCCCTTGACCGGAATCGAACCCGGGACCCTTCAGTTCGCAGGCTGATGCTCTATCCACTGAGCAAAACCAGTTTCGGCTCTCCCTTTTATTCTTCAATATTGGATGACATATCGGTGCTGTTCCTTCTGTGTATTCAATTTTTTAAATGCTTGCCCAGTATTTCTCTTTCGCTTCGTTCTATGGTTTTTTTGTTTTGTTTTTTCCTATTTAAATATTGTCTACAGGAATTTGGAAGCGACTCAAGCCCTGAAGCAGAATATCCTTGACAAAAAGGAAGTTTACGGGGAGACCTATAAAATGATTATTTTAATCCTGCTATTAAAACAACATCATTAGAAAGAAAGAAAACAACATTATTTTCAGTCTAACTTGTTTCTGGTTTAGTGCTCTGGTCAGCACAAAATATATGGGAGCCGCTGTCACTAGAGTTTTTAATTTCCTTGTTGTTATACTACTTCAATTTTTTTCAAAACAAGCATTGAATCTTATCCTATGCCATTAAAGTGCATAATGGAAATACTAACCGATTGAACAAGTCTTATCCAGGGCAGTTCGGGAGTAAACTAAAGATAGGTGCCTGCTTCGAATAGAATTTGAGATCACTACAATAATTGGCTATAAAGCTTATCATTACAGTTGCACCTCCCTTAGTTTAAACAACCTTAGCCGTTAATGTTTTTCAAGGTTGGCCTTGACATTTAAGGACCTGCATTCTAATCTAAGTATAGCTGAGGAAAAGAGTAAGCTTCCTGTGACCAAGTTTGGTTTCTATGATTCAGAACTGTTTTGATGCTAATAAAAATACTGTAGAAAAATTTTAAGATGTTGCTATTATTTCTATATTACAAAATTCTTTTTTTTAATAAAGGAAAATCTTTTTTTTCTTTTCTTTTAAAAAAATATATTTTATTGATTTTTTACAGAGAGGAAGAGAGAGGGACAGAGTTAGAAACATTGATTAGCTGCCTCTTGCACACCCCCTAATGGTGATGTGCCCACAACCAAGGTACATGCCCTTGACCGGAATGGAACCCAGGACCTTTCAGTCCGCAGGCCGACACTCTAGCCACTGAGCCAAATCGGTTTTGGCTATATTACAAAATTCTTGGTATTGGCTCAGAACTGTGTGAAACTATATTATTCCTTGTATGTAGAATATGCTATCATTTTCTTCCATCTGACTTGATATCTTTCACAATTGGAATAGTTAAAATTAAAATGTAATTGAACATTTTTTTTTAAAAAGTAAGGATAGGGTTTTTTAGAACTCTGTATTTATAGTGAACCCAATTATTTAATTCATTGTGCAGAAGGCCCAATAATAGCTTTAAAAAACTCTGTATCACTTTGCATCCTAGGATTCACAACTAAGATTAAATAATTTGTTCATAACTATTGTATTGTGTAAATCTTTAAAGAGTATATCATTTAAAATATGCTTTAAGAAAAGAAGCTATATTGAGGGGGATATTGGAAGTGAAAGTAAGCAAGGGAATTTTCAGAAATTTTCCATCTCTAAATATACAGACTGGCCCACTTAACAGTGTAGAACAACTTTTATACTAATTTTTTGCATTGCATTAATATCATAAATTCATTAATAAGATGTCTATAGGAACAAATATGTATTGAGGGGAAAAAAAACAGAAATTTATCCTCTATTAGAAAAAGTGTTGGAAGGAGATTATCAAGATTGGAAATAACAATTTGAGATAATGGAATGCTTTCTGAACATTATTATGACAGGAAACTTGCTTGTATTTTGATATTTTTCTCCAGGGAGAAAGTTAGAAATGCTTTTCTGAACACATAATCCATTGAAGAGCCTCTTCTAGTTATATATGTTTATGTTGGATATAAATTCTATTTTGTGGCTGCTCTGTGAGAGCTACAGGGAGAAAAACCCTGGAGACATCGAGTTAGGACATATTTTCAAGTTCTTTCAAATCGGCTGTTGTTTCTTTTTTATCTTGCCTCAGGAAACAACACGATAAAATAAAACCACTCCCCTCCTGCAACTTCCATGAACTGCACAATCTCCGTGAACTCTACAGTGTCAACGAACTAACTCTATCTCCTTTCTCAGGTTACAGAAGTCCCCCTTTTCCTTCTTGAAATCATTCACCTTTTCACTTAAAAGAAGCACTTGGCAATTTCTCTTTGGCATGTCTGAATTGCCAGCATGGATACTCCTGCACTCTTGGGCCATTATTAAGTAAAAGCAGGATATGTGAGCACTGAGATTCCACAACAGCCAATCTGATCACCAGGGCGGCTACTAAGGGACAATGGGCGGGAGTGTGCACAGCCTGGAGACGCTGGGCCAGGGGATGAATCACTTCCAGATCGGAGGAGAGGGATGATGGGAGATTTCTCCACTGCTCCGGGCGTGCAATTTCAAAGTTATGTGTTGTTTATTTCTGGAATTTTCCATTTTATATTTTCAGACCACGCTTGACCAAGTGTAACTAAAACCACGGAAAGCAAAGCCACAGATAAGCAAGAACAACTGTATAAAGAGACTTTCCTCATTCTTTATCAATAGTATTGAAAATTGCTAATGGTCATTTTATTACTGTAAAGGATCACAAAGTATTAACTTTTCTTAAAGCATATTTTTCTGAATTTTAAACTCTATCAAGTAATGACTTGAATTTGGTCTCTGCGTTCATTCCGATATGGAGAAAATAAAACAAGACTAGAGATAGGAAAGAGAAACCAGGAAAGAAAAGGGCTTCGCAAACAAATTTGGCATTATTTTGGCTTTAGAATCTTTTTTTTTTTAAAGTATATTTTTATTGATTTCAGAAAGAGAAAAGGGGAGATAGAAACATCAATGATGAGAAAGAATCATTGATTGGCTGCCTCCTGCACGCATCACACTAGGAATGGAGCACACCTGACTAGGAATCCACTGTGACCTCCTGGTTCACAGGTCCACGCTCAACCACTGAGCCACACCAACGGCCAGGTTGTCTTTAGAAGCTTATGAAGATCTAAGAGGATGTTGATGGGTGTGAATGAAATAGCGAGAATCAATTTAAAGGATATTCAGTAGACTGTAAAATATACCTGGAACTGTATGTAGTAAGTTTTGTGCATTTCCGAGAGAGAGAGAGAGAGAGAGAGAGAGAGAGAGAGAGAGAGAGAGAGAGAGAAGGAAATTGCTGCTCTAGATGGTTTGGCTCAGCTGAGCATTGGCATTGGCCTGTGGACTGAGGGGTCCTAGGTTCGATTCCAGCCAAAGGCACATGCCCGGGTTGTGGGCTCAATCCCCAGTGGGGGGCGTGCAGGAGGCAGCTGATCAATGATTCTTATCACTGATGTTTCTATCTCTCTATCTCCCTTCCTCTCTGAAATCAATAAAGACATATATTAAAAAAAAAAAATTGCTGCCTTAAAGTGGCTTATCTCTAGCTATCAGATGAAAATGAAACCAGCTAGCAACACTAGCTATTATAGCACCCACTCTAAAGCCAAGCATTGTATAGGTATTAGGAAACCCAGATAAGTAAGCAGTAATAGCTCAAATTTAATTAATAAGCACTAAATATGCCAGTCCTTTGCTAACCACTTTTGATGGATTATCTCATTTAGTCTTTACAACAATTGTACAAGTAGGTTTTTCCAACGGGTAAATTAAGAGTTACAAAGGTTAAACTGGCCCAGGGTCAAATAACTTTTTTTTTTTTTAAATATATTTAATTGATTTTTTACAGAGAGGAAGGGAGAGAGATAGAGAGCTAGAAACGTTGATGAGAGAGAAACATCAACCAGCTGCCTGTTGCACACCCCCTACCGGGGATGTGCCCACAACCAACGTACATGCCCCTGACCAGAATCGAACCTGGGACCTTTCAGTCCGCAGATCAACGCTCTACCACTGAGCCAAACCGGTTTCGGCCAGGGTCAAATAACTTGAAGGAATTGTAGTGGAGACAAGATTTGAACCAAAGTAATTTAACTTTGAACCAATTGATGTAACCATTATACTGCTTCCGAAAATTCTTGACTCCAGAAGAACTCTCAGTTTTTCTGGAGGTGGTAACCCGTTGGATAGATAATTAGAAGAGAATAAATACACTGAGAGCACTCCAAGAACTATTAACATCGCTTCAGGATAGTGAGAGCCCACCAAGTCTGCAAGTCAGAGAAGCTTCCCAGAGAAAGTCACATTGGCCTTGAAGGATGAACAGGACTTCTCAGAATTGGGGGCAGAGCATCCCAAGAGTAATAAAGTAAAATCACTAAGGACTGGAGTTATCAAGGTAAACATTTGGGAAAGAAAGGGTTTTATGCCAAACTTAGAGAAAATATGTAAGAGTGAAAGTAGAGTGCAATAGATGTCTGGAGGTGGGCATATGCCAACTGCACATGGTATTCTCTCTGCTTGGAATGCTGCTCCTGCCCATTTCTGCCTATCCAGTTCTTATTCATCTTCCATGCCTAGACTCCTGTAAATTCCTCCGAAGCTTCCCAAGCTTCTCTATATGGTCAGTGGGCAAATTATTCAATCTTTCTGAGTATGAGGAACTTCATCCTAACACCTGCTTCAAAGGCTAGTCAGAAAGATTAGGAGTTAAGTGTATTTGTTAAGTTTCCTGGCCCGTAGTAGATGCTTAATATTTATGGGATGCAAAAAGCCAAGACTAGCTTTGGGTTGAATCCTATAGGGTTTTGAACTCAAGGGGCCATCTGTGAGGGCTTCTGAACCTCCTCAGTGACATTTGCCTTAAATCATACCTACTTCCCTAGAAATCTTGATGCTAAAAGAGGTCTTTTTGTTTAATATATTAACATTTCATGTGCCTTGCACATGTTTGTTAGTTATCTCTCTCTCCCATACATCCTCAAGCTCCTACAAGGGCAGACAACCCTGTAACTCTATTCTGTACACCGTTTCACACTCAGCAAAATGCTGGGCAAATTGTGTGCAGCTGCTTACTTGTCCAATGAGTAAACCGATTGTCGCTTTATTTGTTATATCGATAAATAATGTTCTCCTGGCCTCTCTTGGTTAGACTCTAGCTTTAAGTTCCTAGGATATAAATGTAAAATAGAGTAAGGCAGAGAATTTGCTTTCTATTAAAAAAAAGTGCAAAAGCTGTAAGGTGTCCTGAGACTGATGACATTAGCAGGGAGCGCCATCAGGTGGTTGCCCGTGAGACAATGCCTTTTCGAAGTAGTGAACACAAAAAGCCTAAAAAAAAATTAGACTCCTCGATATAACAAGGTTAAGAAAAGTGAACTAACTACAGCAGAACAATAAAAAGAAACAATTTACCCCCACCCAACAAAAGCTTACAAAAAAAAATGCCAATTGTGGGATTCCTCAGTGTCTTCAGATGAATTTATTCACAAGGCGGGGTATTTTTAACGTCCCTCAGAAACTTGGAGGGGAGCGTGGGTACCTGTCGAGACCACAGAATGGCCAGTGGACGGAAATATGTCCCGGGATCTCACCGCCGGGGAAAGAAGGGCCCGGGTGGGATCCACGTGGACGGGCCCGATCGCACACTCGGCCTTCGATTGGCCGAGCCTGCCCGGGCTGCGTGGGGGCGGGGGCGGGAGGCGGAAGCGCGCTCTTTCAAACAGGCAGTCCTGACGTCGATGCACTTCCGGCGTCGCGATGGCGGCTAACGCTACCACGAACCCGTCGCAGCTGCTGCCTCTAGGTAATGGTGGTCCTGCGGGGAACGGGGGCGAGGAGCTGAAGCTTAGGGTTGGGGGCCGCGGGGCCGCGGGCCGAGGGTTAGGAAAACGCGTTCCCCTCGCGGCTCGTCTCCAGGCTGCACGTCTCCGCGGTCCCAGGCCGCCCGCCCGCCCGCCTCCGCGGCGTGCAGGGTCTTCTAGGCCCGAACCGCGGGGCCCCCGGGAAGGTCCGCACCGGGCAAAGGCGTCGCCGCCGGCCTTCTTCGTCGTGAGCAGCCCCACTCCTCAGCCTGGCGTTTAAAAGCTCCCCGGATAGACCCTGTCACTTATCTGGCCGCTTATGGAGCGAAGCACTGGGCTCTGCAAGGAGCCTAGACCAGGAGACTGGAAACTCGCCCTATTTGTCATTCATTCATTCATTCATTCATTCATTCATTCATTCATTCATTCATTCATTCAAAGAGCAGTTCTGGAGCATCTGCGCACCACCCCGTGGCTGGGCACGACTCGAAACCTTTAAGTCACGGCCACTGCTGCCTTTAGCACACAAACCAGTGGAGGGGAGAGGATACTGGACAAATAAACATCCCAGACAGCGCCCGGCCGGCCGAAGAGATGTGCGAACTCCTGCTCAGAGGACAGGGCAGAGATAGGGTGAGAGGCAGCGACCAGGCGTCTCTGGGGAAGGCAGTTGTGCCCCGCTCCCTAATGTTTACCAGCCGAGAGGGATTGAGTTAGTGGGTGTGGCTGGGACAAGTTTTTTCCTCCATTTGACAGGCTTTTTAAGAAATTACTTTTCAAGAACTATTTTTAAAAGTTATCTTTGTTATTGAAAGTATTACAGTTGTCCCTCTTCTCCCCTCCCATTGACTCCCCTCCCCTCTACTCTTCGTCTCCCTCCCCCCTCCCTCCCAAGGCCTTCACCACACTATTGTCTGTGTTCAGGGGTTATGCATATGTGCATGTAAGTTCATTGGTTAATCTCTCCCTCCACCCCAATCTTCTTTCTGAGATTCCCAGTCTCTTCCATTTTATGTCTCTGGATCTATTTTGTTCATCAGTGTATTTTGCTCACTAGATTCTACCTGTGAATGAGATCACGTGGTACTTGTCTTTCTCTGACTGACTTTCTTGGCTTAGCCTACTACTCCCCAGGTCCCTCCATGCATGGGAAACTGAATACTTAGCATATGCTAGGCATTGTCCGTTGAGGACCCAGTGATAAGGCAACCTGTTTCTGCTCTCATGGGCTGAGAGTCTAGAGAGGAGTTCCTATATTAAGCAATCGCTCTATCTAAAAGCCTCAGTGACCAGCAGACCATTGGGCCACCTGACCAGTAGCTGTGATATGCACTGATCTCCAGGGGGCAAATGCTGAGCGCAGGAGCTGCTAAGCTGTGGTGACCTGGCCGCTGGGGTTCGGTTCTCAGGTGATGCACCTGGAACCAAAGAGGAGGGAGCCCGATTACGGTGCGTCACTCGAGAACCGCCTTCTTGCAATCCGGAACCCGTGGGGGATGTTGGAGAGCCGGTTTTGGCCCGATGCAGGCCAGGCTGAGGGACCCCAGCAGTGTATGAATCCGTGAATCAGGCCTTTAGTCTAATATCAAACCACAACCACGATAAATTGCTACAAAATTGTGGTGAGCGGAGAGCAGGGGGAACTTTAATGTAATGTAGTGATTGAACAGAGATATATGGTATAAAATCTGAAGTTTTAGAATGAATACTTTCCCTGGTTTATCTTTCACCATATGCAAGTAATAAGTGCCAATAGGCACCCGAATATTTATTGTTGTAATGAATTGGTAAATAATCTTTTTCTTCTCCCTTAAAAAATACATAGAGCTTGTGGACAAGTGTATAGGATCAAGAATTCACATCGTGATGAAGAGTGATAAGGAAATTGTTGGCACGCTTCTAGGATTTGATGACTTTGTCAGTATCCTTTTAAAAGACAGTGATGGTATGAGTTTTCCTTCAGTATTTTAAGAACAGAATAACTATAGACAATTTACTTACTGACAACTATAAAAAAAAAAAATCAATGGATTCTCAGGGAAGCTGAAATAATATTTTAAGTGGATGTGTAACTGAAAGAGGATAAAGTTCCTACCAATCACAAGCCTTTTGAATTCAGGCAGAAAGCCAGAGTAAATTTCACCTTGTATAGTATTTCCTTAACACAAATTTCAGATATGGTACTGGAAGATGTCACTGAGTTGTAAGTAGTGTTAAAAATTAAGAATTGTCGGGGGTGGGGGGAATCCCTCTTTAAGGCACTTTTAATACTGTAGAGCCAGAAAAATGATGTATGAGAAAACATTGCCTGTTGGAATTACTATTAGAAATTTTAGCCGGGACCGGTTTGGCTCAGTGGATAGAGCGGTGGCCTGTGGACTGAAAGGTCTCAGGTTTGATTCCGGGCAAAGGCATGTACCTTGGTTGCAGGCACATCCCTGGTAGGGGGTGTGCAAGAGTCAGCTTGATCGATGATTCTCTCTCATTGATGTTTCTAATTAACCCTCTCTCTTCCTCTCCATAAAAAATCAATAAAATATATTTAAAAAAAAAAAGAAATTTTATCTACCGACACAATGCTAGTAAATTTGAATCTGAGGGTTTTGCCTAATGAAATGTTACTAAATTGCTAGAAAGTTAATGGAGACTAATTTAGTGGAAATTATATTTAAGATAAAAGATACTAAAACAGAGCTCAAGTTAAATCAAGGAGTTGATAGAGCATTTAATGTAATGTATGTATAATATAAAATGTAATGATGACTCAATTAACATAAAGATCGTAACCAGTATCTGTTTTCAAAATTGAAATGACTGTGGATTGGTTAAATGATAGGAATCAATACTAAGTAATAGAAAAAGAGTGAAGATAGTAAACCTTTTATTTCATATTTGATCTTCTTGGCAAGTTTCAGCTGCTTTTACGAAGATCAGCCCTATTCAGTGTGGGCCTTGGGCCAGTCAGTCCACGGTGTTGCCTTTGGGGAAGATAATACATTCTCCAGGAGATAGCCTGTGTCTCTGAAACGGTTGATACAATTGTCTGACCTCATGTTCATTTATGCAATAATAACTTTCTTAGGGGTCAAACTGTTGGTTTTGACGATCTGATTTTCTTGACTTTTTTTTTTAATCCATTTGTTTAGTGAAATCACACCAGAAGGAAGAAGGATCACTAAATTAGACCAGATTTTGCTAAATGGAAATAATATAACAATGGTAAGACAGTAAAGCTGTTTTATTTTCGATGTTAGACCATTTCTTGTGGGGAACGAGTTACTTTGCTTGACCAAGTGTTCACAGCCCAGTGGTGCTTTAGATGGGATAGGGATGCTCTGGCGTTCAGGGCTTGAAAGCTGAGCTATTGATGGTGACATTAGGCATGAAGATGAGTTTGCTTGTACTTTTTAATAATGTATGTTACTAAGGGTTGTTGTTGAGGCACTAAGTATTAATTGCTGATGGTGGAATTGTGCTGGGGCCATGGAGAAAATGGGGATGTGAGGGAGGGGCAGAGGCAAGTGGCTTTGGTCAAGGAGAGCTCTCAGTAGGTGTTTTTAAATGATGGTATTGGTGGTGTTATTCAACTTTTTCCTCCTTTGCAGCTGGTTCCTGGGGGAGAAGGACCTGAAGTATGAATGGATTTCCTTGACTTACATTAGATTCTGTTTTGTCTTATAATGACAACAAATTATAATTTTTTTTTTAACCTTTCACTGTTTGGATTCTGTGAAGCCCAGTTTCCCGTTAAAGGGGAAAGCTTTGAAGAGGCATTGTAAATGCCATTTTCTTAAGTTAATCATGCTTATCTTGGGGGAAAAAGAACACTGAAGACTAAAATAAAGGTGGTTTTGGTTAATTGTCATTTATTTATTATACTGCAATAGCCATTGGAACAAAGTTTGTGGTTATTTTGTCAGTTGTCTCTTGTCATTTTACGTCTGTTTTCTTATTTACATGACCACTTGGTTCTCAAAAATTGTCCCAACAAAATGGTGAATTTTGAATTTTGAACAGGTACATTTAACCTGAAATAATTCAATTTAGATGCTTTGAAATTAGGATTTTTCTACTGCACTCAAGTTTCAGTAACTTCTTAAAAACAAATAAGCAAAATAGACAGGTAATCTGTGCACATTGTAGAAATGCAGACAAATGAAAAGGAAAACTTTGCTACAAATGAAAAGGAAAACATACTTTGCTATCCTCCTAGACTTTTTCAGTACACATTTTATATTTACAAAAACTGTTTGCCCTGATTATGCTGTTTTGTGGCCTCCATTGAAGAGTTTTTAAAAATTTAAGTGGTGAATGTCTTTCTGTGTCATATTTCAGCAACATTAATGTGTGCATAGTATTTCATTAAATGGGTTTACCATAGTTTATTTAGCCTATTCTTATTATTGGCCACAGTAGTCTAACTAAATCTTTATACATTTTTATTTTTCTTAGAAGAAATTCCGAAGTGTGTACTGTCAAAAGGTATATATTGTCATGTTGCTAACAGAATGTTTTCAGTTTTTATTACATTGTATACCACCATTGTCTATGTTCTCTTTGTCATTATGATAGGCAAAACTTGGTATGTTTAAAATTTTCTTTACTAATTTTGTATTTTGTGGATTATGTCTATGAGGCTTTTGCTATTGAGATGCTTGTCTTGTTTCTTACTAATTTGTAAGAATTCTTAAGAGTTCCTCTTAGTCATGTATTTTGCAGGTAAATTCCCCAGTTTGTAGTTTGCCTGTTAGGGGTACATTTTTTGACAAATAAAAAAATATTTTATGTAGTCATATGTTGGTCTTGTTCTTTATGGTTTTTGTCTATGGTATACATGATTAGAAAGACCTCCTTTGCTGAAATGTTTTCTTGGTACTTTATATTTTCTTTGTTTAAGTCTTGAGTCCATCTCCAGTTTTAATGCTTCCACATGAGAAAAGGACCAACTTTATTTTCTAAAAGCAAAGCACTGATTTGTAGTATTTTAAAAAAAATATATTTTACTGATTTTTTTACAGAGAGGAACGAAGAGGGATAGAGAGTTAGAAACATCGATGAGAGAGAAACATCGATCAGCTGCTTCCTGCACACCCCCTACTGGAGATGTGCCCACAACCAAGGTACATGCCCTTGACCGAAATCGAACCTGAGACCTTTCAATCCAAAGGCTGATAACTCTATCCACTGAACCAAACCGGTTTCGGCTGATTTGTGGTGTTTTTATTTTATTTTATTTTCATGGTATAAATACTCCTGCCGTGGCTGATTTTATGCTGCCCAGGGTTTAACAGCTGGCTTGCAAACTTCCCAAAGTTTAACGGTTGTTCTCAGGAGCCACTGTTTCTGACCCTCGTTGGAGGAATGCTTTTCCTCCCGTTGCTTCTTTCCTTTTGGAGGGAGGTTAAGTGATGTAATGTCATACTCTTACCACCCTTTTACTCCATCTGTGGTCGTCATGCTCAGCTCTTTCTTCTTTCCTTCCAGGGGTTTGTTGCTTGCAGGCAGCACATGCTCTTGGATCCAGCGTGCTCTGAGTGTCGGAGCAGCCTGACCTCACTTAGGGAGGCCTGCAGTTATCTTGTCTGTGGCCAGGTGGCGCAGTTGACTTCTGGGGTTCAGTAATAGGAAGTTCACTTGCCTACAGATAAAACTGTCTCTTAATCTAGTCTTTAAAAGTGATAAAGATGAGGGTATGGTTCTCCCATCTGCTTATACTTTTCCAAAATCCAAGTAGATACTGTGACTTATAGGGGTCTCCATGAAGATGTGAAGTCGGGGGGAGGGAGGGACGGGGAGGTCCAGCAGGCCTGTGGTTTTGTGGTACATTTGAATAATTTGGGAGTTCCAGACAAGTTAACTCCAGCCCACAGATATATATCCTCTATCACCTGTCAATAAAAATGATATTTTGACCACTGTCTTTACCATTTTGCCTTTTTTCTCAGTTGGTTTATACCTCAATCTTGGAAGAGGGATGCTGATTATTGGTTCACTCAAGTCTCTGCTGTACTAATACAACTTCCTTTGTCTTCCCCATGGCTTCCTGTCACCCCCGGGCATCTGTCCTCCATGCCATTAGAGTATTCGAGTGATTTATTTAAAATGTAGAATAGTCAGGTGACACTGTCTTTCAAGCCTTTCAGTAACTTACCCTCTGTACAACAAAAGCCCAAGTTCCTTGAGACCATGAGGAAGGGATACCTATTGACCTTGACAGCCACATCTAGATCTTGCCTTAGTAACAGAATTTGTAATGCTGACTGTTTGGACTTTTGGCTTTACTCATGTTGGGCCCCTTGGGAATGCCCTTGACTTTAAACATTATTTGATTTCTCTTCAAGCGTAACTTCTTCCAGGAAGTCCTACAAGACCCCCACCCTTCCACCACTTCTCAGTGCTTATATGTGGTAGTTGGTCATGGAGACTTCAAAAGTGATGTTGCATTATACTGTCTTGAACAGTATCCTCAAACAGTTCATACCATGCAAAGTCCTGTTTTCAGGGGAGACAGATCCTGTTGCACCCTTGGAACAACAAACTGTAGAGTTTGGCTGCCACTTACACAACCAGAGCTGCCATCATCTGAATATCTTTAATTTTTTTTTTCTAATTTCATAAAGTGACATTAGGGATATTCAAGGATCTTGTTGAATTTTTGTGAACCATGTATTTTTAATTACAACCAATGAATTAATGATTTAATTGATACAAATGTAGAAATGAGCAAAGAAAGAGACCCAGATATGTTGAGACCACCAGGTAAAGACTGGTGGTGAATGAGTCATAGATGAAAATATATATCTAAAACTGAGGTCCAATGTGGAACTTCCTTAGTCTATTTCTTCTAGTGAAGTTGTCTCTACAGGGAGATGCTAGGAATAAGCAGATCGTTATCTTACTGCCTTTATAAATGTAGATTTATTATTAATGGGATAATGATAGAACTATTAAATATAAATAAATGTATAAAGGACAGAAGCATTGTTCAACTATGAGAATGTATGTGGTGAGGTAAGAAACATATTGAAAACCCTATGCACATTAAGTAGTAAATGGATTCAGGCTTCACCTCTGACTAAGGTCGTAAAGATTCTGATTAGGAATTTTATTCTGGTTCAGCCTCAAGATTGAGTTGTGTGTTTTTTTGTAAAGATAATAATTATGTATACTAAGGAAAGGACACTCTTAAATCCTGAATCAGTGAAATGTGGAAAGGAAGGATTAATGGTGACTAGGTTAAGAGTTTGGCTGGCGTGGCTGATGGACGGAATGGGAGGATCAGAGGCAGGACCTCAGAGCTCCAGCGGAGACCCACCTACTGACCCTGAGGAGTGTAGCTAGCACTTATCTCAGCCCAGCCACCTCCCCTGTCTGTGCTCTGTCTCCTCCAATCGTGAGGAGTGTGAGGTCAGCAGGCATGAGGCTGGAGCAGAGAATGGTTGGAGAAAACAATATTTTATCCGAGGTAATGCTGGCTGAATCTTTGATTACTAGACATTTTATTCTTGAGTTTAATAAGAAAAATCTTGTATGACATTAGCTTGTCGCCAGAGGGCGCTGTGGAACAGGCAGCTAGTTGCTAAGCCAAGGCTTTTAATATTCCTCAGAACTTGGTTGGAATTCAGGAGGATGGTGACCTCTGGCTGACCAGAGAGCTGGACCCCAGCACTCAGGCTCCTTCCCTGTCCTTTATGTGTACGTCCCGCCCACCATAGGAACACAGTAGCAGCTGTTTCCAGGATACAGCCTGAGAGCAAGGTGTTGAGACCATCCAGGCAGAAGTTTCTGGACTCAGGTAAGGCCTCTCTACGCATTTGAGTTTCAGGCGGGTGGGTGTGGATCTATTTGTTTTGAGGTTGCCCAAGACAAGCCTCGTAAGTTACTTCTCTGGTTTATTAAGCCTGCCACCTACTAATCTGGAGTGCTCTGCCTCTTTCTTCAGTCTCTCTGGCCCCCATATATGAGACCAGTTTCAAATTTCACCCAGCAGGCCCCGGGGTTTAATTCTGAACCAACAATCCTGCATTTGAACTCAGATTTCTGGTCCTTCCACTATTGGATCACACCACAGAGCAGGTAAAGGGTTCAAAATTATTTTATTTTACACTGCTTATTTTTTGGAAAAAAAATTTAAAGTTATTGTTGAAAGTATTACATTTTCCCGTTTTGTTTTTTTTTCCTCCAGTGACCCCCTCCAGCCCATCCTGCTCCCACCCCGGGCCCTCACTGCTCCATTGCCTGTGGCCATGGCCATACATATATTCGCACAAGTTCTTGGTTGATTACTTCCCACCCACACACTCTCCCCTGTCTTTTCTCCAAGATTCCCCACTCTGTCCCATGCTTCTGTCTCTGGATCTGCTCGGTTCATCGATATATTTTGTTCATTAGATTCTACATGTGATACTTGTCCTTCTCTTACTGATTTATTTCACTTAGCATGATACTCTCCAGGTCCCTCCATGCTGTCTCAAATGGTAAAGGATTCTTCTTTTTTACTGCTGCATAGTACTCCATGGTATAAATGTACCACAGCTTTTTTATATTTTAGTTGTAATTCTAGTTTGTTCCTGAGAGCATGTCCATGCAGCATCTACTTACTCTGCTGCCATTTTTAATCTCCTATGCTGCTTTTTGA